TAAATTTATATATATAATAATATTTGCAAATTATATATTATATATATATGAAATATAAATTATAATTTGCAAATAATTATATATATATAATATATAATAAATAATTTATTTATATATATAATATTATTTGCAAATTTTATATTATATATAAATATGAAATATGCAATATATTTTGCAAATAATATTATATATATAATAGAATTTTTATAAATTAATATATATATAATTTAATTTGTAAATTAATATATATATAATATAATTTGTAAATAATTCTATATATAGAATATAATTTGCAAATAATATATATAATATATTCTGTAGAAAATTCATATATACAAAGAAAATATATATAGAATAGAATTTTAAAAAAATATATATTTATAAAATAGAATTTACAAATAAAAAATATATATATAATATAATTTGCAAATAACTATATATAAGGCAACCTTAAAATTATCATCAACCACTTTAATAAGGGACGTTTCATCTCTGTGTTGCATTCGTGATTTTCTTTGAAAAACGATAGGGGACTGACAAAAAACGATACCCCTATGTATACATACTTGCAAAATCCCAAACCATGGAAAACGATAGGGGACTGATAAAAGTGAAACGAAAACACTCCAAGCATATATTTTTGACGCTAACTCATATAATAAAAATCTTAGTTATAAATAAATTTAAATAAAATAGAAACACATATTAATATATATAATATAATTTGCAAATCATTTTATAAATAATTTATAATCTATATATAATAAATTATTTATATAAATAAATATAAATGCAAAAAAATATATTATATAAAATATCCAAATTCCAGATCCTCAGTACCTATAGCCAACAACACCAATTCTCAACATCCTGAATTCTAACATCATCACCCTTGACATCCACAAACATAAGCACCACCATCAGAGTCACAATTCTATCAACACAAAGCTTTAAGAATTTCAGATGCAATCTCAATATCATGATTTCCAATATCCCCAACTTCAACAACACAAAGCTTCAACAACTTAGATGCACTACCCTCAACACCAATATCACCTTATTTTTTTTTGCACGAATCGAGGCACTATGTGTGCAGGTTCTGCACAAATCACCTAGTTCGAATTAAGAAGGAATTGCTGTATAGGTTGCATATCAACCGCAAGAAGAGAACCCCCAAACCGCCAACAACCAAACAGGAACAAACAACAAAACACATAATTAATAAATATTGTAAAATTAATACATTTTCAACAATAAATATTGTAAAATTAATTAGAAATGCTAAAATATACACTAAATATATTAATAATATATATCTCCACATAGAATTCCAATTAAAAAAATCATAAAAATAATTAGAAACCCTATAATCATCCAAATCCAATAATTTTATTTATTATGTTCGATTATATTTATTAAATTTAATATTTTCTTATAATATTGTTTAAATATAAAATACAATTATTTTATTAAATTATTCCGATTATATTTAATATTATGAATATGAAGAAAATTTTAATTAATAGAGGAAGGGAATGACAATCGTAATTTTATAAGGATTCTAGGGGGTGTACTTTACAAAAAGCCTTGATTTAAGAATATTTGATTCGTAAAAATGGTATGGATTAGAATGAATTTATAAAAAAAAATATGAATTTATATAGAAAAAATGTCCAAAATAATTATTTAATAAAATAATTTCTCTAGATAATCAAACAATATTTGACCGAAGATATAATCGAGAATTTTAATTGTTGATTATTCCGGAACCATTTTGAAAAGAAATTGTGTGTGTACGTATTTGATTGTTTTTTATCTAAAATTGAGCGGCGATTATATTGTGCAATGGTATATGTTGAATATCGTATTCTATTAGATTTTAATATTAAATCCATTTAATTTATATAAAATCGATTCGGAGCAATGTGTCTTTGTACAATTGCACTCCACAGGGATATCTAAGCATAGATTATATTGATTTATAATATATGTTTTGCGGTGTGCCCATGTTATATTTTATTCTCATTCTTTTGAATTTGTTCGTTGGGGGAGGGCAATTTGCATAGGGATGAAGGATCACGGACTTGGAATAATTTTGATGCAGAGGTTATTGGGTCCATGCCACAATTGCAAGGGTCTTCCGGTCCAATTGATCTTCCCGATATTGTTATTGATGTTGTTGCGATTTAATGCTAGAATAAATGTTGTTATAAAATGATTTATCTGACGTAATTGTTTTGCAAGGATTTTCGTGCCTAATCTAAGTGTATTCGTTGATCATAAGAAATTGTAGGAATAGGAATCGTGATCGCGCGAATTTCGCGCGGGATCGCATGCAGCTCACGCAAAGGCCTACATGTCGTTTATGTGTTGTATGTAACCTGGCTATTCTCTAAATAATGCATTGGTATGAATGGTGCTTTGCCATTGAGATTTGGAATGAAATATTTTAGAAAATAAGACAAATATGCCAACCATAATACAATGTACACACAATGTTCTTTAAATATATCATATTCATGTCGTATTCATTTTTCAAATGTAGTTATTATGATTTAACAAAAAAATGAATCGATTTCACGCGAATGGATTGATTTCTCGTTGAAATCTTATGCCTATGGAATGAATTGATTTCATATTATTTTAAATATGCCGCTTATAATAGACGATATCAAAAATTATATATATATTTATTTTTTCTTTTTTAATATATGATGTAAACAGAAAATATTTTATAATATTCAATTTTTGTTTACAAAATACAAATTATCTGCGAAAAAGATCTTTAATCCATCTTTATTTTATATGTCGAGATTGCATTTCTAGATATTCTTTGGTCAATAGAAAGAATAATTGGTATTATATGTATTAAATCCATTAGATACAGAATAGTAGGAAAATAGCAATACGATCGGATAACCAAAAGAAACGAAATGCCTTCATATTTGAATCATTCGATATGACAATATCAGAACGGAATCAAAATTTTAGAAATTTATTTTATATAAATATTTATATGCAATAAACACGATTAAAATATTATCCCAAAAATAAATCATCCAATAATATATAATAGAATTTATATTAAATCCAATATATAATTTAATTTTGATTATAAAAATATATCAATATCATCCTTTTTTCTTACATAAATTCCCTAAATAGTTTTAATAATAATTTAAAAATCGATTTTATTTTTATAAAATATAAAAATTCAAATTTCGATATCTATTAAATATTATATTATTACAAATTAATTCGTTCATAAAATTTTCGAATCATTCCTATTTGTTGCAAATATTTCAATCAATCCTTCTAAATACAATAAATTTCAAAATATCCAAATTATATTTAAATTAATATTAATATATTTATTATATATACATATTTAATTAATATTATATATATCTAACTAATAATATGTAAAAAGAAATTATATAATATTATATATATATTTATATTCAATTACTGAAAAATTAATATTTAATTATATAAATATATTAATTATTATATTTAATTTAAATTAATATATTTAATAAATTATCATAAACTATATATAATTGAAATCTATTGACATATTTTTTTCCGACCAATCCTTCGCCACGTTCATCGCAGCAGAATGAGCCAAGCTGAAAAGGAAACATGTGTTTTGGTTCCCAATTCTTCAAAGTACTGTTCACTAATAACTTTATCTTTTGTCATTTGCCTGCAATTCCCCCAAGAAGCCGCGGCTTTCCTTTTGGAAAGCGGCCAACAACGGCACTTTGTTTGACCAGACCTCCTATCTAGGCCAAGAAGCATTCCTTTGCCCAGGCGCTTCGTTCTTGAGGCGCAGTGGGATGGCTGTGGCGCAGTGATCTTTTGAGGTGACACTTTGCAACAAACCCAGGAATGCGAGGTTAGGCTAAGAAAGAGTGTGGTTCTTTTTGACGGTGCAGACTCCAGGCATGGATTACCAAGTCATGGAAAACAAAGCATACAATAGCAAAGACCTGGGAACTTGCAATGATGTTCATGATCGAAAGGAATCTGTTGACATCTTTTGAAGGTCCATGGATGCATTTCACAAGGTGGGATCATCCCTGGTGAACACCAATGATGCATTGGGTCGTCTGGTTCTGACGAATGCAGATGCACATGCAATGAACACAACATTTCTTTCGCACTCCGTCATCGAGTCAGGCGTAGGCTAAGGGTAGGCCATTGTGTGGTGGCCATCCCTCAAATGTTTGAAAAACATAGAGAAACATAAGGGGAACTCACAGAGTAGCAGAGAAACATAAGGAGTCCGGATCAAGCTGCACCTGTCACACCTGTTCTGAGACATGTTGCTGCCATACATCGAGGTTTTTCAGCCACTCAGCCATTGCTTCCTATGACCCCCGCCGGATCGCGCACCGTGCTGGCCGGTGAAACCAAGGAATCGCGGCAGGGTCGGCCCCAAGTCATGAGACCTGTGAATTTCTGGAAGATGCCTTGGTATTTCAATAGAAGGATACCTACATAGGGGGGACCTCCCGACTCGATTTCGTCTGTTTTTGATGCTCCCCAAGGTTTTGCGGGGCAATCTACACCCAAGGTTGGAGCAGCAAGCCTCTTTAGTAGGATCTGAGAATTAAACGAAGAAGGTTCATCTGTGTGAAGTGATGTTGCTTTGCTGGTTTCGTTTCAATCCCTTTTCTGGTCACCTAGGGCCTGAGGGCGACTGTCAGCTTTTGAAGAGTCCAACTGTTTGCCTTCGCCTTGAAGAGATCATTCTCCCATCAGTGGAGGCCAAGCATGTTCTCATCTCTCATTGGAGGCTAAAAGGCAAAACATGTCGAGTCAACTGGATGTTGTAGATCTCTTGTCAAAGATCCGGATAAAGACTTTGAGAATTCCCAAGTCTGATACAGGAAAGCCCTTAGATCCAGTCATAGATCCAACTCATCCATTGGCTGGGCCTCTAAAGAATAGGCGAACCGGCTAAGCGGTTTGTCCCAATGTTGGCTGGGCCTCTTGGACACTCGATTTTTGGTGCTTCTGCCGAGCCCCGCCGCAGATCGAGGGAAGCGATCGACCTACCAGTGGCTTAAGATCGGTGAGACCCCGACCGTCACCTGGGCAGTCGTCACGACGAGGTCCGACATGGAAGAGTTAACGAAGAAATTCATGCCCGAGCGCGTGGGCAAAATGGATGAATTTCTGGTCCTTTTTGATGAACGATGATGAACAAATGATGAAGTAATTTGATCGTCCCTCGCTTTGTCCAACTGTATGTCTAATAAGTTGAGTGCTTTGACACGAGGAGGCTATCAACTGCTCAAGTCAGGTAACGGAATCGATGCTGCTGATGCTAACATTCCTCTGTAGCACTAGCAACATTGTCTTGGTTGCAGTGCCAAACAAACATCTACTACAGAGTGTTTCCTCTGACCCAAAAGGAGAAAACTCAAAATTTTCTGAATCATACTGAATCACTAAGCGCACAACAAAACCACTGTCGAGAAAGAAAGAAAACAATCCATCATGCAATATAGCTCCAAAGAGCTGGCGAATCTGTAATTGCATGTAATTGCACAGGTGGAAGTCCTGTTGAAATCCCCTGGAACAGGATGGCGTCGCTATTGGGTTGGAGGCCATCGCTATTGAGTTGGCGGCCATTGCTATTGGGCTGGAGGCCATCGCTATCAGGCTGGAGGCCATCATTATTGGGGTGGAGGCCGTCACCCTATGCCCGTGGCATGCAAAGCTGATCTCACCAAGATGCGCAGCATCTTGGCACACCGTGGCGCTCGTCTTTAGCCCCACGCCATCTTCGGCGCCACCTCCGCCTCTCCGACGTCGGTCTCTGATCCCCAACGCCGGAGACTGGACACTGGGAGGTACACCAGAGGTCAAAGATGTGGAACGTGCAGTTGTTCTTGGTGCCTAGAATTGCCCATAGGTATTCTTCGAACTTTGTGTGATCTCTAGATACTCATCGAAGCTGTGGTACACTCAACATCTCATGAATTTACCGCTGTTTCTCGTCCTTCAGCGACCCTGTGGGGACCTCCCCACGGACCCATCCTCCCCGCCTGGGGTTCACCGGGCGGCGTGTGTGGCCTCACCGGTCGCGCCAATGGGACTGGTAGATGGACCGAACCGTTGGGGACCATGAGGGGTCCATGGGGCGGCATTTCTATGACAGACATATAGAGTGTCTGGCGTCTATCTGCAGAACATGGGAAGACGTTTCTGCGAGGAAACCCAATCGAAGACAACTGCCAGCATCAACATGTAACAAACAGAAACTCCTGCGACCACTCCCAAAAGCAAGCTTGTTTTGATTATAGTCTATCGTTGGATAGCTGAAAGAACCGCACCAACCCAGTTCAGGGGTTGAATTGACCATCCCCTTTCCAGGGCCCTGAATTCCTTTTGGTCCCACTTGATTCTCAGCAGAGATGTTATTTAGGGTAGCCCCGGATATACTCGCCGGGGGGTTGTTCCCTAGGGGCTCCAACCATATATTTGTCAGGTTCGGTGGGCACAGCCCGCCTGGCACCCACCCCAACCATCTTCATCCTTCGAAGAAGAGGTAGTTGGAGTCCTAGTCCTAGGAATTAATCAAGACCAAATCCAATTCCAGGGCGCCCAGAACTCGGCGCCGCGCTTGTGGATGTCCGGAAGCGACACGCTGCCGTTCTCCATCTTCCAAAGGCCTGACCTTTTAGCCGGGGAGCGAGTGAGATGTGCTTGTGAAATCTGGTCCTCTTGCAGGTTAGAATGGACAAACCCTATCTGGTTGAAGAGAACGGGTTTTAGGGTTTAGGGCCCGGCGTCGGTTTGGGCCCACATCTTGGGCGACGTAGTTACCTGAGACACCGCTTGTCTGGTTGACCCAGAATCAAATGCCTACATTGAGCCTGGGTCCACCACCCTGATTGACAAGGCAATATATCTTCAGCCCCAGTGTTTGGGTACCTCAACCCCCCTACAAGTATCGCTTTAGTGGATGATCACAGCGAAACGATTCTTTCTGTCATGACTCATGACGATCTTTTTGAATGAGTCCTTTGAGCTGCTTCACGTTCAGCAGGCTGATTTCCGCTGTGGGCCCACAGCAAAACAGGCTTGTAGTAGGGGGTACCCCGCTGCCTTGGGTACCCCCCCAAACTAACGACGGACCGTGAGAATTGACCCGTGGTTTCGGCCATGGAATCCCGTTTTTGGGGGTTCCATCTGGTCCTCGTGTTCTGGGCTTTGGATGTCTGGTTCCATCGGTTTTTTTCTGGTTCCATCTGGCTTTGGATGTCTGCTCCATCTTCGGGTTGAGTTCGGCGTCGAGAGCCTCTCAATGAAATGGCAGTCGATTTCCAGCTTGCCATCTACCAACATGGCTTGAATCCAAGCTTGCCTTTGAGACATCACGGCCGTTGACTCTCATGGGCCGCTTTTTCTCATGGACAGTCTCTCCGTGACTCTCATCACCCTGAAGGCATGGCCACATGTGGAAGAGGTGTTGTGAATCCACGACAAGAGCAATCATGTGAATCCTTCGACTGGCACAAGTTTGGGTCATTCTGATATGTCAGTGTGATGTGAGGATAAGAATCCAACGAACAAAACTCAAATGATTCCCACCATCATAGTTTGCCCTTCAACTTGAACGCTTCACTAACAACATAATCACATAGCAACATCATACATGTAAACAATGTATTATTGTATGATATACATCAGTCGACCATGCATTTCTTTGGACACCTGGAGTTCTTCGACACCCCTCCGATCATCGAGGCCGGCACGTCGGCTCGACCGGCTCGGTCCCTGCGCCCGGTGGCGCCTCTGTTCGGACGAGGGCCGCCGCAACTCGCTCTTCTCTTCCACGCCTCGGCGGAAGAGTTCACCGGCACCCTGGAAGAGGTCCAACACCTCTTGCCAAGAGCTGATATAATATAATATATATATATATTATATATATTATATATAATATATATCATATCATATATCTACACCTCCTAGTCCATTCCCTCATATCCTGCCAACATCTTCCAACATCTGCGACCGATCTACCAACCCCCATCCTGAGGAAGTTGTGTTCCACTGCAATTTTCAGGAATCCGTGAGATGTTCTTTCTTGAAATCAAATAATGAACGAATCCGTCTCACCGTAAGTCTCCCATTTGCTGAGCACCCCCAACTCTGGCTAATGCTGGTCGTCATCTGCTGCGCAAAGGTGCGGAACATCTGGCGTGCGGCGGTCGCGACGCTGGCAGCAGGCGCTTGGGCTTGGTGCGCAGATGCGCGCGGCGTCTAGGCACTGCTGGTCTCCAGCAGGTCTCTGACATGGAGGTTTGGGTCGGCCTAGGACTGGTCTCAATTGGCGACCTGGCAGTGAGGGTGCTGGTCGGACATGGGTCGGGTTCATGTCGCTTCATGGCAAGCCGTACGGTAGGTAGGTCCTAACATCGTGGCTGGAAACAGACCTCATGCAGGACACACAGTCTGGAGAGTTCGGTCTGAAAAAGAGTTCTTTTGTGCGCATGGCTCTGCCATCTACTCTCCAAACATCCTTTTACATATAAACAATGCACTGACCATCCAGAAGTTTCATTGCGAGGTAACTGTTTAGTCCCCTCACATGAGGTTCTGGTCACTGGCGCGAAATTCTGCACGCCGAGCGCGCGTGAATGGCTGGATTACTATGTCTTCTTCAAGCCAGCATACCAAACCCGGACCTCTAAGTGGGCAAAGTCTCCATAAATGTGTCATAGACAGAGTGTCGACCAAGGTTTTCCTTACCTGGGCATATATCCTAAGTATTCCTAAGTTCTAGGAGTTCTATTATATTGTATAATTGTTATATCAAAGATGTTGCAGTGGTGAGTCGCCGCCCGCCCACTTGGTCGTTCCTTTTTCAGTCGTTCCTCCCCGTTCGTCTCCAACACCCGCTCGGGTACACTCCGATGAACAGAACACATGGAAGTGGAAAGCACCCTGTTGGTAGAGGAAAGTCGTCTTCCGAACTCGAGACCAATGCCATCCACCACCGAACGTCGTTTCGGGACGTGCGGAACCCGTTTTTCCGTGCTTCGGACGTCGTGTTCCATGCTGAGACCCCCCAAAAAAGCATCCTGAGACGCTGTGGGCCATGGCATCGTGTCACCCGGGAACCCGTTGTTGAATTTTTTTCACGGAACATGAACTGTTCCATGGAGAAGCAAGACATACTGTAGTCAACCGGAGGTCTCCCTTTTTTTAGTTTACACACCCATGTGACTATCTCAGTGAGATCCTGAAGTGAGAGGAACTGCGATGGATCTGGGCTGCTTCTCGAATACCCTCTCGCTTTTAAAGGGTCCATGCGGTAGGTTCAAAACGATGGAAGGCTGAAAGCGAAAGTGAAGGAACCCGCAAGTACTTCATCAAAGTTCGACCCCCTGGAAGGTGCGGAATAGAGACCCCCTGGAAGGTGCGGAATATAGACTATAGTTTACCCAATTTCTGGATCCTTCCACTCCTCCTCTCCTTCAACATCCTCGCCCAACCCCCCAAAAATTGTTCCCCCAACCTATGACAAACGCCTTCCGCAGCTTCTGTCAGACCTCCTCCCACCCCCACCTCTCCACCCCCAAGTCTCCGCTCAAACCGCTCCTCCCTCGAAACCCACCTGTCGGATCGAGGACAATTGTTGCCTCTTGGCATCGATCCGCCCTTCGTTCCTCCACGCACGGGCACGGGCACGAAGGCGCGTGTCGGACGCGTGTCACGCACGCGCGGCGGCGTCCTTGTAGGTTTCTTTGGGGCGCCGACTCAGTCGGCCCAGGTGTTCGGAACTGTGACACACCCTCCCAAAAGGCTGAATTGGTTTCACAGGTTGTGCACAAGCACCCCGATCAGGATCGATCAGGTGACAATGGTCGTTGGATGTGGTGGTCCATGAGTGCGCACCCAAGCGGGAACCCGATGGGGACGGGAGAGTTGCTGAGCTGATGGGCATCCCAAGGAGCAGCCGTTGGAACATGCAATGGGAGGTATTATAGTAGGCACTTGATTGATGAATCCCCATATGAATTCATAGGTGTCGGTGTTATTTTACCATGCACATGGGTGGATTATTCATTCAAAATCTTTAACTGGAGGTACCCAGAGGAATAGGTTGGTTTTTCTTCGCAAAAAGATTCTATTTTTATTCGGTCTCTCCGGGGTGCTGCAAGATCGAGCAAAGAGCGTGTTGAAAACAAATGGTTGCTGGTTGACAGGGACCCAGCTCGGCACATTTACCACAATAGAGCGATTTGATTTTTATTTTTGCTGACTGATTGCCAGGAGTGAATACCAAAATAGGCAAGAGCTGCTATCAACATCTATCAACCAAATTGACTGTACACAGCAAGACCAATCGCTAAAGACCGTTAAGAGAATCAATTATATAGATGCACTCATCTGTGACGGTTGATGTTCACCTCTTCTGCGGGCCATTCACCACTGCCAAATGAAGGCTTCGAGGCAAATTATGTGGATCCTGGCTGGTCTTTCGCCCAAAAATGATAAACAACTTACATTACTTCGAGACTTCGAGCCATCCCCACTCTGAAAGATCTGAAAGGCGATTTGTGCGGATTGACGCGATGTTCTGATTCTTGTTTTGGCATCAAACCTGGTTTGTGCTCTGACACATCATCTATCATAAAGGCTGGGAGGCGTTCTGGACTGTGTTTTGAACATCTTTGTTGGCGTGTGTTCTGACATGTTTCCCTTCTGACATGTGCTGTGAGTGCTGTGACATATGGACCAACTTCAGTTCTCATACTCTTCTGACATGTATTCCGACATTTGTTTTCCCATCAAACATATCCCGGCATTCTATCTGGCATCAAATCAGACATTGTTGTTGACATTATATCTGGCATATACTCTGCGTTCTATCTGGCAAAGCTACCATAACTGCCTGCATTTTATCTGGCATCATTGCTGGTATATGCTGGTATATACTCTGGCATTGTGACTACTTAGCAAAACACTCTGGCATTCTATCTGGCGTACATTCTGACAGTCTATCTGGCATATATTCTGACATTCTATCTGGCGAGGTCCGGCGGTGCCCGTTGCGATCTGGAGCTGGGCAGTTGAGGTGCGGTAGTCAAGTATAGAGGAGAAGAGGAGAAGAAAAGGAGAAGAGCTCTGATAGAATCTACATAACAACCCTCACCTGGCAGGTGAGGAATGAGTAATGGGGATCTTACACACTCCGACTCATTAAAATAAAGTTTAGTAAATAGTCTTCCCAAAGGCCATTTTCCACTTCCATGCTTGTGAATCGGAGGGTAACCATCCCAGGTAAACTCCACACCCAACCTGCTGACCCGAATCACTTTGCACCACAGACTTCCCTGGCAAGCCAGTCCGGGAGCAACCCCGGGCCTCGCGATGGTCATTTCCATGGCACAGTCTATCCTGGCGTCCGCAGGTGAAGAATCAGTGAAGGAACTCAAATGAGCAAAAGCATGCAAAGGCACGAACATGTTTACTTTTGACGAGGAAAGGGATTGAAGAGGACATGCTTCAAGCAAGGTTCTTGCTTTTGAGGGGGGCTATCTCCTTGCAGGCATTGTCGCCAACTTAGGCGGTCCAAAAGGTCCTCCTAGTTCATCAGAATGCCTTTCAGGCACGTTAGGCAATGAGGATTGAACATATTTAAAGTTGGGGAAAGACCTACATTAATCCCTTCTATTTCCCATCCAATCCCTACAAATCCCTCATGCACCACATTCCCTTCTATCAGCCCCTGTCTGGAGGACCTGTTTCGCGGACCCCCACGGGGGCCTCCAGTTCTCAAAGACTTCCAGCAGGAGGTTCTCGTCATAGAAACTCGGCGGCGTTCACGCGGAGAGAACCGCGGATCTCGTCTCTCCGCGAGATACGCGGCATATATTTGGCCCACGTGTGGTTTTGGTTTCCAAGCGGAGAGAGTGGTGACCTAACCTCTCCCCCGCTTCTAGGTTGGAGGCCATCGCTAGTAGAAACAAAGAACACAAAAGGAAAACAGGTTTCCCGGAAGGTCTCGGATGAGACGTTGTGATAAATGGTCTAATGGCAGTCCCACTGCCGCATCAAGGGGAATTTGTTGCGATCTGCAAAACGCACAACTTATGCATGTTCAAGATTAATTAGTCCATTCAAGGACATTAGTGGAAAAATGATCCCAAATGCGACCCTGCACCAAGTTTATTGAGCGTCAATTGTGGGACAATCCATTTAACCATTTAACTACATTTAACTTATTGCCCAACCTTGCAACGCCGTGGTTCTGGAATGAGTTGCTGTCGGCTGGTTTTTTAGCGAACTGCTGATGGACATGTCGTTCGGCTCCGACCAGTTGAGTCACAAGTGGAACAACGACATCCAAGAGTTTATATAAGTTTATGACACACCAACTCGAGGAACCTACGTACCTCCACTGATTTGGGGCGGCCCTCATTGCGTATCTACCCCGGGTGTCCCGGAGTTGAAGATGTGCCCACACCCATTCGGCCAAAGTGCAGCGCTGCGCGGTTCATGGCAGACGTGGCGGCCTGCGAGTGTTCCTCTTTGTAGTCCTGCGCTGGTGGCAGTAAAGCCTGTGGTTTTCCCGCGGTAACAGCACCAAAAGGGCAGTGTGCTTTTGATCACATCCGTCCATCGCAAAACAAGTTAACGTTTACAAGCTTGCTTTTAAGAAAACCATGGCGACCAACAGCTCGATCTTTACGCCTCACGTCAGTCCTCAAGCAAACCAGTTTTTCATACACCTGCTGAAGGGCACTGAACGGTTGTTGATGAATTCCTTGAGCGCATAACAAACAGCTTGGAATGCGCAATGGCACCCCAAGAGGTCATCAACAACCCTTCAGTAGCTTGTTGAGGTATGATAAGGCGAGTAGCAGGGGAAACATATGTGACATATGTTTCCCGCATTGCAATCCCTTCAATGGGCAGGGACCATCCACTCTGGTAACTGGATTCCAAAGCACTCCAAAAACCTCGAGAGCTTGACTCCTGCCTGGTGGACTGGACCCTAAAACGGCCGTCCTGAATGAGCTTCTTATTCTCTTTCATAATTTCTTCCAGTTCGGCCTGCCGTGCAGCGTTCGGCCTGCTCACTGCTCACCGCGCCAAGTGGAGGACCCGCAACAAATGTAAAGCCATTGAGACATGTCCAAATGTTCTTTGGAATCTCCAGTCTAGCCCTGTACGGACATGACCTTCCCCACCTCGTTTTCATATCTTTCTGCAATCCATTTCTGTGGCCAAATCAGTCTCACTTCTCCCCCTTATTGGAAAAGGTCCGCGAGCCGCGCAAGTCAATGAGTTGATCTGACCCTTCAGAATAAAAGTGACTTCTTTTTCATGGGAAAACATCAAAACTATCCCGGCAAAGAGACCCCTAAACAGTGTTTGTTTGATCCGTAAGACCCCCAAACTGTCTGTGTGTCCGCACTGTTTAGGGGAACAACCAAAAAACTGCCTTCCTTCCTTCCTTCAAGCAGCCTTCGGTCTAGCCGGTAGCCTTCGATGGGGAATCCAAAAAAGAAACAAACAACTCCCTGTGACGCTGTGGGTCAGGGCCACTCCTGGCCCGCCCGCACAGTGGCCCGCCATCAGTGGCCGATTCGTTTCTCGGCCAAACACTGCCGCCATCGCTTCTGCGATGCTTCTGCGCCGCCCCAAAAGAGAAAGGGGACACAGCAAATCAAGAACACTGCGCCGAACACTGTGCCGTCACCTCCTGCTTGGTATTCAGGACATGGGACTTCCAGCACGCAAACGCCTGCACGAGAGATTCGTTCACTGAAGGAGTGTTTTGTTGATCGGTTCTTTGATCGGTTGCAGAATTTCGGCACAAATGCAATGGGATCATCCAAGAATTGTCATACAGCTATAGCTGCTATAGCTATTGCTCCAATGAAGCCGTTGGGCAGGGTCCATTCGATAAAATTTCAGATTGTTCCATCCAGTGGGAGGCCGGGAGAAGTGCGTTCCGATGTTTGTGGCACAGCGCTACCAGTAGCCCATTAGAATCAGTAGAACAAAGAACTACTTCCCAAGTGTACCACTAGCAGCCCACGGCATAGCAGCGCCCTCTGCTCGCAAGACACATGGCAGTCGGCCCGGGGCGAACCCCTCGAAGCCCTCGCCGCGCCTGCGTGATATTATTGGACTCGCAACCCCCGAGTGCCATCTTCAGCACCTCGCGGCCAAGCGTTGTCGTTGTTTCGAGAGAGGTGTCCAACAGGGCAGGCTTTCAGGGTTGGTATGACAAGTTCACTTCATAAGAGACCTTGGAATGTTTTTGGAGTCACAAGACGGGGTAGTTTTTAGTCCCATCCAGTGAGTGGATCATGGGCACCCCTATCCTCCAAGTTCGGCACCCCATCTTGTGACTCCTGGTAGATGTATATGTATCGTATCTATATAGTGACAGTCGCGGAGTGAAATATACTATATAGTACACGATGTACACGGACCTGGAAGCAACGAACCAACTCACTCATGAGTCATGAGATGTCATGAGGGAATTCAAACAAAGAACAAATCGATTGCTAAAGCCATGTATACATGTGCCGACATTGCAGGCCCGGAAGGGGAACGAAAGCTCGCCACTGCTAGCTGAGCCTCCCGTCATCCGCACGGATCCACGACACGGACGGTGTCCCGGTTCCGGTGATGGTGAGGGGCTGTTGTGGCTGGGCTTCCGTTCTGACGTCTTGATGCAGCTGACGTCTTGATATAGAGTATAGACTCAAACGGTGAATTCCACCGGTACCGACTGGGACTCTAAAGCATCTTCAATACAGTAGGGCTCCAGTCGTACGCAGGACGCACCGAGCCATGTGTGCTTTTGACGTTGAACGAATCGCCATCGCACCGAGTCAGTGGTCGCATCTGGCTGTGGGGGGACTGATCTGCCGGACCCTTGACACCCGGAAAAGGCTAGACCAACAGATGTTAAGTGACCGTAAATAGGACCCGTCACCAGGGGTACCTGTAGGATAGTCTATAGGGTTCTTCAACCTCTGCTGGTACCAACCCAAAACATCCAAAAACTCTGCAGACGTGAGGAGACGCATTTTTTGTGGGTGCCTTGGTTGGCATTCGGAGCATGGTCTTCCACCACGGGTCTTCCTTCTCAGAGTACTTTAAGAATATTTGTACCCAGCATAAGACCCAAGTCTTCAGGATCCAACGGTCAGCTGAGTCAGCTGGGCTTCTGGCACAGAACAGGGATAGGTTCTCTGGGTCGATGGGGCCTCTCCCTTCCCCAAATGAGCTGCACCAAGGGGACCTTATATAATTCAACCAGGTCATCGCTGGTTTTTCGGGGGCCCTAGATATGGTTGTTGGAGGTCCCCGCCCTTGACGAAACAAGCAGCGAGGACGACCACCCTTGACGAAACGGTTGCTGCCGGCGGGTTGCTGCCAAAGGGCCAGAAGGGAGTCTCCCTTTTTTCCAACTGAAACCTATCTCGGGAATTCAACTCACTTGAAACACATACGTATATATTATATAAGTATATATATATATATATCTTATAAGTATATAATAAGTATATATGTATGTTAGTCTAGTCTAGTCAGTGGGATCCATCATGTCAAGTTAAAGCTTGAACATCAAAATGGTAACCACCACCCAGGATGGGAGGAGTCTCTATCTCTCCATTTGTCCACCGCCCAGATCTTTTACACCCGAAAACTCACATGGATCCGGGTGACATGGGCGAGTCTGACCAGGGTCCATGTGAGTTTTACAGCGAGGTTAATAAGGGGTGTGGTACCAGTATGTTTAGTACTAGCAGAGGTTCGGTTTTGAGACGCCCCTTCAGACGGTCCGCAAGTCGTGCCGACCCCAAGCAGTTTTGAGTCTATTTGAGTCTGTGAAAATGCACTGGACGCCCACGCTCGACTCAAGGCAAGCACTTAGGAGCCAGAGACTCGATGGGGGCTTTGTGTCCACCGGAAAAAGAGTCTTGTTCTTGCTTGTTGGGTCTGTTGCGGTTCCCCCAATTTCATAGTGGTAGCGGAGCCCGGTTCCGACCGGGCTGGTTTGGGTTCGACTCTTTTTCTTGGTGGTCACCAGCCCCCATCCCGTCTAGGTTTTTGAATGGCCGATAGACAGGCCATTCCACCTTCGGATGGCGACTTGGATGAACCGCCAGGCGGCGGCTCGCCAGCTGCTGGCTCCACGGGGGCTCAGGGCGCGCAGGACGTTTTAGGGAGTGACCGGGAAGCCTTCGCTCGGTTCCAACGCTTTCTCCAGATGGAGAGAGAAGAAGGCCGCGGTCCGACACGTCATAGGCGCCGTCGTGAGCGAGAAGAAGAAGAAGGTGATGATAGTGGAGAAGGAAGAGGGGCTTCCGCGGACCTCCACCATCATGGGATGGACAGACCCCATTCGAGGACTATCACATCAAGGCCCAACTATGGATCGCGACGACCAAGGACAAGGCCAAGTCGCGAGGGCCTCTCTTGTTGAAGATGTTGACAGGAGCACCCTTCGAGCTTTACAAGCACTGGGCAAAAGATCCTGTTTGGCTCGGAGATCCACGAGGTGCTGAACGTCTTCTTGAAGACATGGATAAGCCTGAACGCTTCGGAGATGACCAGCAGGAGCACATGCTGACGGCCATGTCCCGCATCACCTACCACCTCCGGAGGCAGAAGACAGAGTCCTGGAGGGAGTACTTCGCCAAGTGGGACAACGCCATTCGGAAAGTTCAACAACACAAGATCGTGCTTCCACCCGAGTATGAAGGCTTCTTGATGATCAACGGGCTGCAGCTGACCGAGAGCGATACCAAGGCCTTGTTGAATTACACCCACGGCTGCATCAAGCCCAGTTCCATCAAGAGCTGGTTGAGAAAGAATGAAACAAAGTTGTCTGCCTCAGAGCTTGGGGCCGACCGGAAGAAGGCAGCCGGCGCCTTCCATACTGAGTATGACGGAGTCTATGCCACCGAGGAGGTCATTGAAGGTAATGGCACCGACCAGGAGGAGATCGACAACATCGAGCACTACATCATGGAGCTCCAGGACGAAGGACCTTCCGAAGACACCGCCCTGAGCGAATCCGAGGCGGCAGAGATCCTCTCCACCTACCTTCAGCAGAAGAAGACCTATACACAGTCGATCAAGGACAAGAAAACCAAGGAACTCGCCCGAGGCTATGGAGCTGGTCGACGACCAAACTTCAGCTTGAATCGGGGAGATCGAGATCGACCTCTACGACCTGGATCCTACTCCGTAACGATTGCCGAGCTGCAGAAGAGGACCCGCTGCCGACAATGTGGTCAGATCGGCCACTGGAAACGGGATTGCAAGAACCCTCCCATGAAACCAGGCAGCTCCTCATCGATGAGCGCGTCTCGAACAAACGAGACACACCTTTTGGAAAGCACACCCGAGGTGCATTTTGTGGGCAGTCTGGAGAAGGAAGAGTTCATCGACAAGAATCTCTCCAGCCATGGACCAACCAGCTCCTCGCCTTTTGAGATGACAGGGACAAGAACACCTGAGCCGCTCATCCTGAGGACTTCAATCGAAGGCCAGCCGGACTGTACAGATGTAGTCCCCGCCTCGAATCACGGCCTGACCGCTCGGTCATATACGGAGAGTGACACGGTTTTGGGTTTGGGAATGGGTGAGATTGGTCATGTTGGTGTGGATAGCTTGTTTTTCTACGAAAACATGTTTTGCGATCTGGTATCCCAGTACTCCCAGTCAACCCCAGATGACGCTACCTGCGCCACAGTCGACACTGGATGCCAGAGACTGGCAATTGGAGCCACGACCCTGAGGAAGTTCAGTGACCATCTACCACAGGGCCTGAAGATCACCATTCACCCCGAGACCAACAAGTTCAGGAGCGTTCACAAAACATCGATTACCACCCGGGTAGCCAATGTACCCAGCTCACTGGGAGCGAAAGGCAGTCTCCTGAAACCAGCGGTCTTCGACAGCGACGAGAGCACCCACGCACCGTTCCTCTTGTCCCTCAGCTTCCTCCTCCATTGTCATGGTGACATAGGGTTGTGTCTTGAGAAAGGCCTCCAACTTCGACTTCGTGGAAACCACGAACCAGTCCCCTTACATCTTGGACCAACCGGAGCACTTCGAATTCCACTTCAACAGTTTACGGAACTCCAACTGACCGCACTCCAAAGAGCCCAGTCAGAAGATTTAGGAACTTCGCTTCCGGAATTCGAGGTCCTGAAATTGAACGAACAGTGCATGAAACCGCCGGAGCCTGACAGAACTCAAGACGTTTCAGCATCGACCTCACCCGTTTCCTCCGCCTGCCATGCAGAACACCGGCCAGAAGCGCAGCCGACATGCTCCACCGGAGACTTCGAACCCGGAGGACAAGGCCGTGAAAGCCTGGACTCAACTGACCCGTCGGCTACTGGTCGTGCTTATGCCCCTTCAGTACCTGTTCGAACACCTCTTGGAGACCATCATGGGAGCACAATCCCAACGCCGGGTTCTAGCGCGTCTGATCGAGAACATGTCCGACGAGGAGCTCCACCACGTGACCAAGATGGCCAAGGACGAGATGAATCGTCGCGGCGAACTATCGGACACCTTCATCGTGATCAGCGACCCGGAACAACGCTCGGACGGATCCCAGAGGAAGGTTCAGAAGGAGACTTTGGTGAGAACTCAGCGCTGCGACCAGATCGACAGCCTGCCGGGGATCGAGATGCTGACTGGACCCCGACCTCGTTGCCGATGCGGCCTACAGGTGAAGATTCATCTGAGCACCGAGGTCAACCACGAGGAGGAGATCTACTTCCGATGCCCGAAGTACCCAGGACAACAGTGCGAATTCAAACAATGGACCCCTTGCCAGCCATTGAAAGATGTGACCAGCTGGAAGTACCGCCAGCAGCCAGGCGAAAAGCCCAAGTCCTATGCCGAGGTGCTGGAGGGGATGGTTCAGGAAATTTGCCCGCACTCAGCCACGCATCGAAAGGGATCCAATGCCTTCCTGACCAAGGTGACCTGCCGCTACTGCAACAAGGTGATCAGACAGGAAAAGAAAGCGGTTGTCACGGAGACGGTGTCTCCCAGCAGCCCATCAGAGACACTTCCTCGTCCTTCAACTCCGACGCCAACATCACCTCAGGAAGGGATGACCGAACCAGAGGACTACCAGGACTTCATGGACTTCCTGCGCTGGCGCCGAATGAAGGGCCCTTCAAGCCAGTGACCCCAAAGCTTGAAAGAAAGCTCAGGGCAGCCTTGAAGAAGGCTGTGGCTTTTTGGAAACAGATCCAGTACATTCTCGCAGAAACGCATGATGGAGATGCGACACTGCGAGACTGGATTCGGAGCTTTAATCATGACCTTTGCAAGGAGTTCACCCTGCACCCTAATGGATCGAAAAGAACACATCAGATTGCTGAAATCATGGGACTCTCTCATAAACAACTCAGAACGGTTGCTGAAATCTATAATCCTGGTTGTTTTGGTGAAATTGCCCATCGCTTCAATCTCAATCCTGGCCGTGCTTTTGATTTGAAGTTGGATTGTGATTTGTTGAAGGCAAACAAACGAAACGAAGTCTTGCAGTATGTGAAAAGATGTTAGGCCTGGACTCGTTTGCAACGCACCACCATGTGAAATGTACTCACAGCTGCAAAACCTCTCCAAAAACAAACGAGAACGCGTTCCTGCTCTTCTTCAAAAGTATCTAAAGAGAAAGTCGGAAGGGGAGCAACTTTTGCTGTTTGCACTGCAGTTGTGCGAATTATGCGATAATTTGGGCATCAAGTTCCTCTTGGAACATCCCCACGCTGCATCCTCCTGGAAACACCGTGCCATGGAGCAGCTTCTTTCCAAACCGAACGTAGTGTACACGAAGGCAGACCAATGCCAATATGGACTCCGTGGAGAATCTGGCCAACCCCAAAGAAAACGGACTGGCTTTGCCACCAACAGCCCGGAGATCGCCAAGGCTCTAGACGCCCTATGCCCTGGCGACCATCAACACGAAGTCATCATTGGTGGCACCAAGTCCAAGAAAGCACAAATCTATCCGGAAGGTCTTCGGGAAGCCATTTTGGCTGCCTACGCAAGATCGATTGGAGCTGAGGTTTATACCATCACCTCCGAACAGATGTTCCTGGAGAATGATCGCCTGAACTCATTGTTGGCAGTAGAACTGATGGTCGATTCTGAACTCCATCCAGGACATTCACCGGATAAAGACCAGGAAACTACGCTACAGGCTGAACAAGTACCGGGACATGAACTTCATCTAAGCGAAGTCGATCCGGAACGACCCGACCAAGTCGAAAGTGTTCTACCTGGCCCAACCTGGGAACTACATGCTGAAGAACTTCAAGGTGACGGTGACCAAGGAGAACTTGAACCGGAAAGCGATGAACGAACAAATGCTCCACTCCCTCTCGAACGTCGCTTCACCATGGACCGACTTCTACATCGAGCACATGTTGGAATGGGACATCCAAGCCCAGATCGGTTTGTACGCATACTTAGATATGCCAAGGCAAAACCGGAAGTCATTGAAGCAGCAAAACGGCTGAAATGCAGTGTCTGTCAACGACATGCCCAAGTTCGACCCGCACGACGAAGTGCTCCACCCAAGGAGCTCAGCTTCAACGAATGTGTCGGAGTGGATGTGGTCTTCTTGCCAACCTTGGGCAATCGCTCCAGACCAGCACTTAATGTGATAGACTGGTCAAGCAAATTCCAACTCATGATCCCCTTGCCTAACAAGAAACCAGGACAAGTTCGAGAAGCCTATAGGCACTGGTTGAGACTATTTGGGCCTCCAAAAAGAATGGCATTAGACTTGGGACGTGAGTTTCGTGGTACCTTCGCCGAACAGGTTGAGCAGGATGGGACCTACATCGACCCAGCTGCTGTGGAAGCACCTCATCAAAGAGGCATCACCCATGTCAACGTGTCTTGGGATTCAACCCCTTCCTACCAGGAGGACTCTTAAATGGAGATGACGGACATCGACATCGAGAAGACGCTCCAGTGCCGAAGATCGGCGACCTCAGCATTGAAAGATCCATGAAGCTTCGGAAGGCTGCAGCTCAAGCTTTCATCGAAGCCGATGCAGACAACGCCTTGCGGAGAGCTATTTCATCAGGACCAAGACCGATCCTGGACTACGACATCGGTGAGATTGTCTACTTCTATCGAATGGGAGCGGATAAAAAGCTCAAGTTCAAACCAGGCTACTGGCAGGGACCAGCTCGCATCATCATGATCGACCAGCCCAGCACTATTTGGCTAGCGTACCAGTCAAACCTGGTCAAGGCGAGTCCGGAGCGTCTTCGGAGAGCATCATCTGAAGAGAACATGGCTCTCTCGGGATGGCTTGACGACATTGTCAATGTCAAAAAGGATCTCAACACTGAACCAGTTCGAGGCTTCCTAGATCTATCCGATCAGCCTCTACCTCCTGACCTAGCAGATGGGGATCTAGATGACATGGACTACGAGCCATCCGAACCTCCTGAAGATGAACCGAGTGCACCTCCGATAGCTCCAATCTTAGACGGGCTTCAAGAACCTCTGGGATACCCTCCGCCAGCAAAAAGATACCGAACAAAGGCACCACAAGAGAACCTTCATCAACCACCAGAAGCAGAAGATCTACAAGAACCAGATCATGACGAACGACCTGCTGAAGAGGTACCAGAAGAACGACCAGAAGAACACCCCGACGTGGACGAGAACAACAAAAGAGAATATGATGAAGGGGAAGCCCAAGAACAACCGCCATTAAAAAGATTGAGACATGAATACCTGGAGATCTACCTGAACAAGGTTGACAACCTGATGAAAACAAGACAGAGAAAGGAAGTTCGCTTTCAGGAACTGAGCTTCAAGAACCAAAAATGTTTCAAGGCGGCAATCGGCAAAGAATTCAACAACAACATCAACATTGGCGCCTACTCCATTGTCTCCCCAGAAGAGTCAGCAAAGGTTCGACAAACCATGCCACACCGAATCATGGAAAGTCGATTGGTACTGACTCCAAAACCATTGGAACCTCACGAAGTAGAACCAGCCAAACAGGAAGGAATCCTCCTCGACTGGGATTCCGAAGAACCTTGCAAGGCCAAAGCCCGACATGTGATGAAAGGGTTTAGCGAAGAAGGCTCCGAGGACATCGAGGCAACGACACCTCAGGTTACCAGAGAAGGAACTCTCATGGTCGCCCAACTGGTGGCCAGTCATCGCTGGAAACTCGGCTTCTTGGACTTCACCCAAGCTTTCCATAGTGGAGATGCGATTGAACGACTACTTTATGCAACTCCACCTCGCGAAGGCATCCCTGGAGTTGCACCGTGCCAACTCCTGAAACTTGAAAAGGTTTGCTACGGCCTCACTGATGGCCCATTGGTATGGTACAATCACCTCAAGAAGTTCCTGACCAGCCAACTACAATACCAGCAGTCACTGGCAGATCCGTGCATCTACTACAAACATCGGGCCAGTCCCCTTACTGGTAAGCCGGTCCTCAGCGGCATCATTGCGGTCGCTACGGATGACCTTCTACATGGAGGCGACGAAGAACACCAAAAGGCTATGGACCAGATCAAGGCAAAGTACAAGCTTGGAAAATTCCAATATGGATCTGGAAAATTTACTGGAAAAATGTTCGTCCAACAAGAGGACTCGAGCATCACCGTGAACCAGGAGAACTACATCCAGGAGAAGCTCTTCGAGATCAACCTGGAAAAACAACGAAAGAAAAAGAGATACACCTTCTGTGACGACAAGGAAATCACGCAGCTCCGCGCCAGTGTTGGAGCCCTAGCCTGGCTCGCCAAAGAAAGCAGGCCAGACCTGGCCGGAAGAGTGGCTCTGCTCCAACAGGTCTTTCCAAAGCCTCGTATCAAAGACATCATCGAGGCCAATTCCATCACTCAGGAGGCTAGAAAACATCCCTCGAGCGGCATCAAGATTATGCCGATTCCGCCAGAGAACCTGCGAATCGGAGTTGCGACCGACGCTTCATGGTCCAACGCTAGAAGCCAAGACCAACTGGAAGCTAGTTCACAGGACTACTGGGAAGAGAAACCATCACACTGGATTCGACATCATGTTACTCCCAGGAGGGTCCTATTCCACCCAGGAGCCGATCCAGGACCAGATCTTCATGACCTACAACCAGGTCGCAGAACGATGACAGCGAATGAAGAAGTTCTAGAAGATGAATGGACAAAAGGAAATAGTGTCCGAACTTGGTCGGACTCCCCTTGGACTGGAAAAACCATCTTCACCAAACAGCTTCCAGGACATGAGTTGGAACATGGAAAGATCAACGACACCTTCCTCAAGCTCCTCAACTGTAGCAGCCAAGGAGGCTATGTGATGATCTTTTATGACAAGAGAATGGAAACCGAAGATCGACCTCACATGGTTTCCGTGACTTCATGGAAGTCAACAAAACTCAAACGAAAGACAGTCAACACCCTGAGCGCAGAATGCCAATCGCTAGTCCATGGCATTGGCCATATCCACTGGCACCGCTACCTCCTGCTCGAACTGATGGGCACGACCATGGAATCCAAGGATTGGGAGCGGCATCTGGCAGCCATCCCCTATGTCTCAGTAGTTGACTCTCGGTCGCTATACGACTGCATCAACAAGCTGGTGTGCACCTACTCTCAAGTAGAGGACAAGAGAACGGCTATAGACATAGCCATACTAAAGGATGATCTCTATAGATCAGGGGGTTCTTTACGCTGGGTTGCTGGTGATAACATGATCGCGGACCCCCTTACGAAAAAGATGAACTCGGATTTCCTTAGATGTGTTTGCAATACCGGTTACTGGTCACTCTCCGAGACAGGCCATAGAACCCAGTGCACCACGCATGACGTTCTCTTGGTCTCGCTTGGCCGTTAGAGTAGGGCTGGTGTGAAAATGCACTGGACGCCCACGCTCGACTCAAGGCAAGCACTTAGGAGCCAAAGACTCGATGGGGGCTTTGTGTCCACCGGAAAAAGAGTCTTGTTCTTGCTTGTTGGGTCTGTTGCGGTTCCCCCAATTTCATAGAGTCTATTCTCCTTCTTCGAGCTGGTCGAACTGGGGGTCTCCCTGTTGCTGTCATCCACCGTCGTGCTCTCCGCCTTGAGGGACGCTTCGTTCTTGTCCTGACGACCCAGCCGTGGACCGAGACCGGGCCGGGGTAGAAGTGATGCCGCGAAGGGAGATAGTCCCTAGGGCTGGCCCACCTCCTGAGGAGATGGTTGGGGTGGGTGCCAGGGGGGTCCAACCACTGCTGAGGATATGGTTGGAGCCCTAGGGAGTAAGAGTGGTGACCCTCCGTTGATTGAATCATGACCGATCAGGTATTAGAAAAAATAAACACGTCTCTATCGGATGGTTCACCACGGGTTTAGAGACCTTTCAGGCAATGGATTCTTATTTGTTTTAGGAATCTCTATACAGTGAAGAATCCGAGCATTTTCGGATTGTTCCTTCCCTTTCTCCACCGGTCTAGCCGCTTGCGGCTTCTATAAAGCTGAGAAATGGGTGTACTTTCAGACCAGACCTCCAAAAGACATCAAAAGACTCCCTCGAAAGAAATAGACCAACACCCATTTCTTGGGGGTAACACGATGTCAAGCGGACGGATGTCCCATCAGTCCCTTCCCGCCCTAGAAAAGTCCCTTCCAGTATGTGACGCTTGGGGTGAATGCCACCTAGCACTGTACGATGGATCAGGGTGCTTCAACGTGTTATGTGTTTTTTCCTACGAATTGGCATGTATGGCCACGAAGGGTGGTGGACAAACAGCATATGCAGTGATGTTCAAGCATCTAATTGGGGAAGAGGTCCGGCAGATTATCAAGACCTCCCTGCGTGCGAATGAATTTGTAAACACGATCTTTGAGTGTACACCGTTGCTCAAATGTAATTTCGGATAGAGCCGGATATTTGAGGCAAATGATTCTTGATTTTACCCATTTCTTGGGGGTCTCCCTATTCAAATACACGTCCATTCTTGAGCTGGGTTACAACCTCTTGTTCGGCAGTTCGCCGCGCGCAACATCGCCCGATCTTGACTGGATTGGACACGCAATCCAGCCAGGTCCATTCCTGGATTCCGCTGATGGTAACGTGATGGCATCGGCGCCCTGCCCAGGCGGGGACGCCTTCAGGTAGTCGTGTATACGTCGCTGAGCTTGAAGGATCAGCTTATTCATCTCCTGGCGCAGTAGCTCGAGAAACCGAACGGCCCGTGCTATTCCTGCCTGCAAGAGGTGCTCCACCAAGCTGACTTTATCAAACTTCCATATATTGATTTCTATATTACACATTCACATGACTACCCAATCTAACATAGCTCCACACATATTTACAATTACTCAATATTATTTACATATATTTACCAAACAAGCTAACAAAATGCCAGTCACCACGCGCAAAATATCCAAGCGTTACCCCACATGGATCACCCAAGGAAACAAACGTGCAACGGTCCCAAGAAGGCCCCCAAGCAGGTCGGGAAGACGCTGTACTTCTTGCTCTCTTGCACCTCCCCATGCCAGCCTAGGTGGTTTCCAAACGGCAACCTAATAGTTTAGGTGTCTTGAGTCTTGAAGTTGAGTTGAACCAGTTCGTCAATCCTCAGGATGAAACTCTTCCTGCTTATCCCTGAAAAGCCCAGGTACTTCTGAAACACCAAACAACTTTCTCAGCTTGTCCTTTTTTGCAGGCGTATTCAGCCCAATTTGAGTAGCGGCAACATGCCATCCACAAAATTGGCTGCGAGCCCAAGCCCACATAGACAATGTATATCTCTACCTCTGGGAACTGCTACCCTACCTCCATGAACTGAGTCTCAACTGCCACCATCTCTGCTTCAATTGATGAACATCTTACCATCCCATTCTGCGCCGTCCGAGACAGCTCTTGCTTGCTAAGGTCTGGGCCTTCCACAGCTTGCGCTAAGAGGCTCATTGAAACATTGTTGGTCATCCGGTCGACGACCTCACTGTCTTGCTTGGGTAGAAGATGATCCAAAGTGCAAAAACACGTCGGGTGTTTTCTGCTGAAGGTGCGGTGTTTATTGTGGGACACGGGACAGTAGACTCACAAACACCCTGAGTCTGAGTCCTCATTTCTTCCGTCCCACTTCTTTCCTCCCAAATCCACAAAAACAACACCGGCTCACAGTCGCAAAACCTCGTATCCATCTATGCAGCTTCTTTCGCAAAAACTGCCATCTTTCTCTCGTTCTCCACATTTGGTTCCTGGAATTCCCGTGGTGCCGTATCCTTCAAACCAAATGGTGCGCACTCCTTGTCCCCCCCAAACAAGAAGGCTCTTCTCTCCGATCTTCCGACTCCCAGCGCCGAAGAAAAGCTCGTCTCTCCGGACCAAGCGAGGCGAGGTGAGAGAATCTAACGTCTCCTTCGTTGGGGCCAACTCAGGCCATTGGTTGGAGCCGGGGCCCGCCGGGGCCCTAGCCCTTTTGGTCGTCTCCTTCTGAGCACCTTGAATCGACGCCAAGCGCGAGTTCATCGCATCCACCTCCAGCGGGCGCTGGTCGGCGCAAGGTGGTGCCGTCCGCTTGGGCGAGCTTCGAGGTCGCGCCGCCCAAACGGGAGCTGTCTGGGAGGGCAGAGCTGCAGAGCTGCTGCAGTTCTGGGGAATGAAGAACATGCCAGCAGTCACAAGACGGGGTGCCGAACTTGGATGATAGGGGTGCCCATTATCCACTCACTGGATGGGACTGAAAACCACCCCGTCTTGTGACTCCTGGTACTAAATACTGATTCCACTCTGGATTTGGGACGGCACTGGGTGTCCTCGTGGTGCCAGGACTTCGACCGATAGGGTTCCAGTCTGTGGGTCGGATTCCAGTCTGTGGGAGTGCCAGGGTTGGGAATTGAAGGAACACAACTCGTAGTTCGCGAGTAAAGAGATCAAGGCAAAGTTCCAGTGCTTCCCAGGCTTCTCACTCTGTATAGCTGGTGAGATCTTTGATCTACCGTCCGCGATCCAAGACACCACCAAGACATCAGTCCAAGCACCAAGACATCAGTCCAACATTTCACGGGGGGACCGTTGATGTTGTACAAAGGGTGATTGCTCGCTAGCCGCTAGACTTGATGACTTCCCCCTGTTCATTCCAATGGAAAGAACACGTGTTTTTGCAAATCTTTCGTGTATTAAAGGGTTACGTGACTGAGTGACAACTCCATCCCATGGATTCATCCACAAAGGCAAACATGAAACATGACATGTCATCTTCCAGAATGATTTGGGGGGTCCCATCCGGCGAAAAACCTCCAAAAAGGTACCAGTTAAGTCCGTCGTTCAAACGATCAGCGATTCATTCAGCGATTCGATTCGGTGGCGGTCGCCCGGACGGCCGTGGTGGACACCAGGAAAGCGGCCGAACGATGGAGAGACCGGTCTTCGCCTGTCCGGACAGCGAGTCGTTGTCTTTCCTTTCTTGAAGGGCATGGTACCTCAGTTGCAAAACAACTGCCAAGGGTGGGCGAACGCGAGTCGGTGTGGAACGCCTTCCGAAGTGCTAGCAGAAACAAAACAAACATCTGGCCCCCTGCAGGCCGCCTGCAGGCCTGCAGGCCCAACCAGCATCTATCCCAACTTATAAGGACTGGGGCTATATAGCCATAACAAAGCTGCTCCGAACTCACTCGACCGGGCAAAAAACATGTTCACCCACAGCATTTGAGTGAAGCCTTTTGGAAACCCGGTAGATGAACCATGAACAGCAACGCCACCGCTGGGTCTGCTAGGCCAGAGTAAAAGCACCAAGCCCGCCAAAATCGTGGGCAAAACTTGGGAACTCGGCGCTGCGGCATAGGGGTGTTCGACAAAGAGCCTGGCCACCAGGCCATCGCCCCAGAAGCTGCACCTTTTCAGTGTGACGACCTTATAGTTACGGGTTGAATATAGACAATCTATGACCCTCACCTCTCACCTGCATGTTTCGCGACATGATGTCAATCCACAATAATCCATGGGGATTCGCCGCACCCACCGCGAAGCAACACTCATCTATATATATATAGTAATATAGGATCATATAGACTATAGACGTACAACCTAAGGTGGTTTCTATGCGCCTTTCGGGATATCAACCTTCCGCCACTGGCGGAAGAAAAGCTCTTTTGCTTTAATTTAGTTATTAGTTTGTCAAGCGCTCCTACTCGGCAACCCACCTGTTCAGGCCAGCGGAGCAGCCGTGGCCACCCCTCGCAGAGAACAGACGCCTCGCAAAGCGAAAACGCGCACGGTGGGAGGAATTTGCTGCCAAGGTGCCAGCCCTTAATGACCTGCGCTTGCAATTCTATCTCCTGCATCTTGGCCTCCGCGTCGCGTCCAGGCGTCCGCGAAGCTCGGAGCCGTTGACGCCGAGCAGCGAGCGAGCGAGCTCAGTGCCCCGGTTGGGTGAAGATCCGATCGGAGATCGGGTTTGAAGCACAAACGGGGGAGGTCAGCACCAGGAAGCTAATGTAGACTACTCTTGAGGTACATAAGCCGCCCCAATTGAATTGAACATCCTCTTCAAAAGGGGGGCTGATTAATCAAGAGTCTACATTAAGCTCTTTAGAGGTCAATGACACCATGAAGCTTGAGGTATTCACCGGCTTCTTCTGCGGCGAACTTGCTTCTCCATCTCTTCTTGCCTGGAACTTCGGTCGATGCCTGGAACTTCGGTCGATGCGTAGCCCAACCCATACCGAAGGCTGTGAAGATGTTCAGGGCTATCCCCTCGCTTGTCATCAACCAGCCAAGGAAATCAAGAGGCCATCGGATTGGCCACTGCCACCTGGACGGCTTTCACACATCTTCTTTCCGGGCACATGTGGCCGTGTAGATCCAATGATCAAATTGCACCAAACCCTGAACATATGTATACATTTATCTATACGTTGCATTGATGTGCGAAACACCTGGTGTAGGATGGTGTAGGTATAAATATATGCCATCTATAGATCTATAAACATGATCTAGACTTGGGCTTTTTTTTTCCCAGACTCAACGATCCTTCCGCACCTTCTTTTCGAACAAGCTATGCAAGCAAGCGAGGGAGCTTTGCCTCCGCGGCTCGTCAACGGCGACGCGAACAGCGAACAGCGAACAGGCGAAGCTAGTGGGAGAGAGGTCTTTTCGAATTCCAGTCACTTGGTTGGGTCTCGACATTACCCGGTGGCTCATAGATGTGTGAAGTAAGTGAATATATATAGTTAAATCCCTTAAATCTAAGGGGCGGTGTTTTTGCAGCCGGTGATTTGAGGACATGAGACTTGCACTGGTCGACATGATGACAAATCCATTCCACCTGGTCTGTTTGTTCCTGATTTTGTCATAGTTTGAGTTGGAGTTGCTAAGTTATACCGAGTCTTATACCGTAATACCCATAAATTCAAATTGTTAAATTAGTTATTCAGGTCAGTAGAGCAAAATGCACTGCAATCCTCAAGACAAACACATCGCAACAAGAACTATGTATGTTGGAATATAGTTGAACATTCATCTCATTTTGCGATACATCATGGTGAGTGAAAAGACTGGGGATGTCTGGGGTGTGAGAAAGCTGTCTCAGCTCGAACTCTTTTCGACGGATTTCATTCTGCCCGGCCCTATGGGAACATATGGCTGTGGGTCTTGGCACCAGGAGACCAACCAGTTGGCCTACCCTGGACCTGTTTCAGGCTCCAGGATGAACAACCTGATCTCCATAGAAGTCCAACAAAGAAGCCCCACAGGGCACAGAACATGGCTCATGTCATCTCATGTCTCCTATTCCACTTGTCCATCAACGAACACATCTTGTGCATGCCATCCTAAAACCATCCCATCAAAAACAACCTTGAAAACTACACCGTCAGCCGATACCAGCTGCCTGTAACCTTCTTGTCTGCTACGAAGGCGTCCAATTCGGTCCTGGAACCAAGGGGTGGGAATGACGGTTCCCATCTGCCACACAGAAATCCAGTCACATGCGAGGTGGATCCACTTGTCGACCTCATAGTTTATGGATTGGCATGCAGGGGCGTGCGTGCCATGCTGGCAACACAGAAAATGCGAAGGACATGCGAGTGCAGCGAAGGGTGAGTCTATCACGTGGAGCACAGGAATCCCACGTTTTCACGGTCATCTTGACGCATCGTTTCCACCCCAAATCGCTTTTTTTCAGGCTCGTTTCTGCCTTCTATGTCTCGTTCTTGTTCTGACCAACGGTGCAAACCCTCTCCGTTTAAACCGTGAGACCGAATGTTTCAGCTAGGAGCGAGGACACATGGCAGTGGGTCCAAACAGGAAGACCCCCCAGTTTTTACTCGGGAAAATGGAAAGAATAGATCACAAAACATGGTCAACCTAGCCGGTTTTGAGTTGAAGTATGTTTTGACCCACTGCATATATAAAGAAAATAATCTCAGCTGGACCACATCAAGCCAAGTCCGTGCTTCTCAAGATCGTATGCCCAACCCCCCACTATAGTTACTCGGATGTGTCAAAAAGAACATTTCAAGTACTTGTCAATGAGGAGACTGTGCATCACGACTCGTTTATTGATGTATCGAAGGGACACCCTTTTTAGAACATGTTAGAACAGTGTGCCAAAGGGGCCAAGAGCTTGTGTCAGGTCAAAGCATAAAATTTGTCTAACATACAACCAATGCATTTTTGGTGAGGTCCCTAAGTTACTGAAATGATACATTTATAACTGTTGCATGCTGCTGCTAACGCTTGACTGTACCACTTCCACCCACCTCATGCTGTCTCTTCCAATTTTGGGACCTATCCCCCGTTCTTTTGGGCTTCATCGATATCAAGAACGGTGTCAGGATCTGTCTCTTCTTCAGCAACTTCTGACCCTTCGGCTGCTCCTCATAGCTCTTGGTGATGCTCGCTTCCTGCGTGGAGAGTACCCAACACATCCCATACCAATGCAATAACTTCATCCGAACATCTGAATGGGCGGTCCAAATCGATGGAAGACACCTGGTACTACTTGTTCAACCTCTTACACACTCAAGAAGTCCTCCTGGTGTCAGACCTCTGCGCAGCAACTACAGTTTCCCTATAGGCTTCTGCAGCCAAAGCATCTTGGTAGCGACAGGGTGTGTAGGCGTCAAAATTTGATGAACCTTTCTGGGTTTGTGGTCAACATGCCACGAGGAGGTTCTTTCAGTGGACGGCGTCGGATACCTTGTTGATCTTGTTGCTATGGATAGATCTCAGCAAAAATATACGCGCCACACATTTCCCACAACAATCGGACGGCACAACATTTGCACCATTCCTTGAAGAATCTACGAGGCAGGTTTTTGGGCCGGCGGAAACTGCACCAGAAGGACTTCTTATGACACCGCTTGACCCAAAAAGGGAACTGCTGAATTCTGAAGTCACCCTTTTGGTCAAGTTGCCCGAAGCCATTCACAACATGTCACAAACGACCGCACCCTTTTGGTAGCCCATGTTTGAGGCCAAAGGGGATCTCAAGAAGGAGGGGTCTCCCACACAGGTTGAGTTGAGAGGTGTCCCATTGAGATCAATTCTGTGGCTCAACTCTGGGTAACCTGCAAGAGGGGAACAAAGCAATATTGATGACCCTTCGACTGTGGATTGCTGTAAGGACCACCTAACTTCCTCAAACTTGGAATGTGCAAGCCCAAGAAGCGGGAGATCTCAAGAAGCAATAAGCCCAGCTCTTGCTCAGCCCAAAATCTCAACATCACCCTCTTCCCCAAAATAGCTCTTCGATCGGCACAAAGTGTTGATCTCGTTTGACTTCTCTTCTTCGGTCCAAACCACGCACAACCCAGGCCTCTCTTGCTCGCTTGGTCCAAAAGGACCAGCCCTGGAAGCCTCGGGACCATTGGTGTCGAACGAGTGGAGACGGCTCTCATGTTCGGTGTCGAAGTCGGTGAGCTTCACATGTCGAGTCTACGGCGTAGACTCGACAAGCTGACTGGCTAAGAAAGAATCCAAACACACGACTCCAACTGGGACCTTTAGGACATCGAAGCGGAGTTGTGGCGGAGTAAACCTTTTTAGGTCGGCAGGTGTTTTAGGTCTTTTTAGGTCCCAAAAGGTCCCCAAAAGGAGTGACTCAAGCAGGAAACATGGTCTTCCTTTCGGGACCCTTTTCCATCGAAACGATGTGAGGTGTTGGTCAGAGTGGATACAGTGAACTGTTCTTTTTGTTCACTCCAACTCTTTTTGGGAAGTGGACAGGTGAACTAAGCATGGACAGGTTACCAGCACTCGCTAACCAACCTGACTCTTGAACAATAAAACACCCTTTACGCCCGCAGGAGACGGCACGACTTCACCCAACGCGGCATGAGAAAGGTCACAGACCTGGCACTTTCTTGTGACTGGTGCTTATGAAGTAAACTCCATGCTGAAACGACTGTCGCCTTGCTTTCATCTACAGACCACCCAAACACCCCTGCGCCCCCTCAGACTTCAAATACCTGCCCCCTTCGAAGAGTTGTCTATTTCCCTCCAAGGATGCCGCCGAATCCGTCGACACCTTCGACAGCACCAAGGAAAAACGGTTTGGGACCATCGACAGCACCAACAAATGGGCCCCCGAACATGCATTCGTGGTCCAATCCTGGTCATTGTTCACGAAGTTGATGCAAACCTGGCTGCAAAGCTCCCCCACAAGGACCCGAAGGGCGAGCTGGATCGTGTCACTGATGCAAATCTACAAGACGTACAAGACACACAGAGCAAGATGGAGTATGTGCCCAAACCTGAGCAGCGTGTGATGACTAATGACTTGCGAACAAATAGACGCGCCCAAAGAGGGAGAAATCCACTGGGTTTGGTTGATTTGGTCTGCTAAAGACTGTGATGTTGCCATTTTGTACTTGATTCAGCAGTTGTCTTCATCTATCTACTACTCTTTTTGGTCCCAACAATGGATGGAGAATGATGTTCACCACATATTCATTCCAATCATTTCATATGTCCATACCTTGAGATATTCAAAACATTTACTATGCGGGGTTCATTATGGCTCATGAGTCCAATTCATGCTTTTAGCTCACAAGGTTGCAGTGATGCCGTTCCTCAACAACTGGACCAAGAGGCTTCCTCGAGACTCGAGTTGTCCCCCCCCTAAGTTACCTGGGAAGATAAGGGTCCACCTGTTATTGTTGAGTGGAGAAGGCAATCCGACCTGCAAGTGATCCAGCTGGGCAGGCTGTCTTTCGTGACAGGACCAAAGCTTTGAGGATTGTGCATTGTCGCGCAGTGGCATCTAGCTTCCATCTGCACTTGGGTTCACGACGCCCATGAAAGGGGGGTGATCAGATGGATGATTGGTCGTAAAGAATACGTTATACACGTTGTAGATTCAAAAGTCTTTTGGGCTTTCGGCAACCGCCTTTTGTCCACAAGTTGAACCAGTCGGGTCCTATCCCGCCCATTTGACTGACCTCTAAGACGTTTCCTGGGATCATTTTCCAGGTCAATCTCTTTCCAGAGTGGAAGGTCCTCAATCCCCCCCCCAAAAAAGGGCCTTGCAGGTGTCAAAGACTTCGTTTTACTGAAAAAACATACATCAACGACCCCCTCTTTTTCAGGAACTTTTCAGGACCAGTTCTTTTTCAGACCTTCCTTCTGATCCATCACCTGGGTCGTTGGGACCGCCGTGGACCGCCTTGAGGGCCCTCTCGGCGTGCTCGTCCCGGTCGCTCTGCAGACCGGCCTCATCGCGCGTGGCGCATGTTGGGGAGGGAGGGGGACCGAAAGAGGGGTCAGGGGAGTGGGACCGAAACTGGAGCAGTTTGAGGTTTTAGTAGTATGGTTTGCATCTGATGTTTCATTGAGTCAATCCGCAAGTACATCGAAATTAGATGACCAAAAGAGTATTGATCTTCTGCAACTGAGGTGGTGCAGGAATTGGTCCTTCAACCACCAGTGGTCAGTTCAGTCATCAGTGAGGTTGGAGGGTCATCAGTGGGATGATGTGGGATGTGGCAAACAGGTTCTCTTGTGTGGAAATTTGAAAACCAATCCCAATCCAAACATGATACTGTACATACGAGGTGCTCATGCGATAAACATGGTGGAACGCACCCGCCGGCTTTGATTGTCGATCTCACTGTAAACTTATTTCATGTGTCCAGGAATTGCAAAAATGCAACTTTGTTTGGCATGTCCGGAACTGCCGTGCGACTTTTGTTTTGGGAACTGTGCCACCGGGGACAATATGAGACGGGACAGCTTTCCCTGTTTTGTTTTCCTTTTTCTTTTTGTGTCATGCTTTTTCTTTGTCATTGTCATTGTCTTTCCTTGTTCCTTTTCCTTATGCTTCTTATCTGTTTCTTTTTCCAGTTGCATCAGTTAAGGTTGCCAGTCCTTCTCCGAGTTTTTTTCCTTTTAGATTCCTTTTTCGTGTTCCTTTCTGGCATCCTTCTTTTCCTATGTGTTTGTGTCCTTTCCCTTTTCTTTGTCCTTTGCTTTTCCATTTCTCTTTCCTTGTCTTTTCCTGTCCTGTATTTGTCCTTTTCATTGTTTTTATATACAGTATCTTGTTCATTTCCTTTTCCTTGTCCTTGTTGTTGTTCTTTTCGTTTTCATATGTTTTTCTTCTTTCATCTGCCTGTTTCTTTGTCCTTTTGAGGAATTCTCCACCTGTCAAGTGAAGGTTGTTAGACTCTAGAACAAGATCCCGCAACTCCTCTCCTCCTCTCCTTCTCCTCCTTCTGTCCTCTCCTGCTCACCTCACTTGCTTGCCAGCTCCAGACCGCGCTGCACAAACGCCTGCTACACCCCAAAACCTCCCTCGCACCCAATGTCAGCAGCCCTGCTTACAGCGAAGTGCTCAAAATTCCCCATCCACAGCGCGCCCAATGTCGTTGCCCTGCAGACCGCAACAGGAAGCTCCAAACCGTCTTTGGCACTCCCGGACCTCAACAGCAAGCTCCAACCGGAGTGGGCACTACCGGGCCTCAACAGCAAGCTCCAGATCGCAATCGGCACTCCCGGACCTCAACAGCTCCAAACTGTCGCATAAGACTTCTTCTTGCTCACTGTCATAACTTTCCCATCTCATCTTACCTAGTATAATACCCGGTGGATCCCAGTTACCACTATAGAAATCCTTGAAGGAACCAGGGTTCTAGGTCTAATGGTTGACTCTTGAAGCAACTTGTTTATAGTGGCAACTTGATTGATCCAATGGGATAGGCTGATACAAAACCATGTTTCTATTTGTCCCGTTTGGGCTCCAGTCCCATATCCTCATGTTTGGTGGTTAGACCCCCCTGGCACCCACCCCAACCATCTTCTCAGGAGGTGGGCCAGGAGCCCTAGGGTGTTGACCAAAACCATGACGAAATTCTTCGGATTTGGATTGCTCATGCTGCTCCGCTCATGGCCGCATGGCCGCATGGCAGCGCTTCCGCCACCGGTTCAGTCCACCACTTCGCCCTCGCCGGCTCGTGGCATCCAAGAGACCAGCAGCGTTGCGAGCTTCTTTTTCGCGGCCATCGCCTCTTCCTGGACAAACCGAACGCCATCGCACCCGAGGATGGAACGGGGAGAACATCATATATTGTTACATCTTTAATTGCTAACGACAGTCGTCTGATAGGAACTCCCAAAAAACCGATGGAGGACGCGTTCTTGATGTCCACATGGAGGAAGCGTCTGGCTTCGGCTCGAGGGTCTTGGGTCTTTGACTGACAACCTGTTCAGACCTCACTTGGCTGTGGATCAATTTCCGGACCCTGTTTCACCCTGGTAGGTGAACCTCGTATACAGTCGTAGTCTATTCATTTTCAGTGACCAACCAGGGTAGGCCGACCCTACGCGAAGTCCGCACTTGATTCATGACTGGGTTCAACCAAAAAATGGACCAACCAGACAGCCACCCTGTCGTTGAGAAGTAAGAACTCGATCCTATAGCTTGCAGCTCTCTGAGGAAACATTCACCCACCGGGGTCCCTCCACATTTGGACCCTCCGAATGAACTCTCCACTTAGGGAGGGTCACTTACCGCCGCCAATCGCAGCCGGCATATATATATATATTATATATACTTAAGGGATGGTTGAACCATCTATCTATCTATATATGGTCATAAACAGTATGGTTGAATTATGGTTGTATGACCATATATATATATAGACATAATTGAATTATGGTTGAATTGGCCTATGAATTGAATAAAGGGATGGTCATTCATCGTCATTCTATACATGCAGTGTGGAGCACTTGGAGAAAGCTCGGTCCTGGCCGCGGATGAGTCTGCCCATCTGCTCATCGGTTTGGAGACACCAGGCCTGAAGAAAAGAGACGGAAGAGCCAAAGCAAATCCATGACTGACCGGGCATATTCTTTTAATCAAGTGAAGCAATCCATCTTTAATATACAAGAGACGAAGACATCTTACAGTAGATCTTGGAATATTAAGGATGTGTTTGTGGGTCAATGTCGGCTAAATATTCCACGCATGGATTGTTACTGTTATAGACTATTGTAGCCACACCTTCGTTTGACAAGGACACATACAAGATCCAACCCAGTGGACCCCCAGCCATGCTCTTGCGCCTGACAGCACTACAGATCCACAAGGGAAGGTTGGAAGCATTGGCCCACTCAAAAGCCAGGTGGAATCAAAGTGTATATATATATATATACAAGTTATATATGTAACATTTGATATCTTTACACAAATGATCACCAAACATGAATTAATTGCATGTGTACACACATATGTATATATATATATGTATTGCATAGATAACTCACATGACCTCTGTTTTGATAGACAAACTGTAGATCTTTGGGGGGGTATATATAGAAAGAGAGTTGAGTATAATCGCGCTTTTCCCGCAGTAGGTTGGACACTTGGAGTTTTATTCTTCCACCCTCCACAGCTTCAGAAGCATCGACAACCACTCTCAGAACCATCCCGCTGGTGCCACACGTCCTACTCCACTGCTGCACTACCGAGCTAAGATCCGTGGCTAAAGAGTGGCTTCAAAGCATCCTATCGGTGGAAGAGTGAACCTGGACCTGGTCATGTCCTCCCAAGATGTCTGGTCCACTGGCCTCATACTCTCTCATTTGCACGGCTGCCTCGAGCGCGGGTACCGCTGCACAGTTCACCGTCGTCAGGTGTTGGGGCTGTAGGTTTTGACCCATCCCCATCTGCGTGTGGACCGGAGAGACCCTGCAAGTGATTGGATTCTGAACGGTTGGATGGTCCATGCCATCTACTTCCAGTGCACACAGAGTTGATCTAGGCTTCCTGTGGTCTGGTTGAAGCTACAGAGTGGAATGGATTTGAAAGTAGATCCAATATGATCCAATAAAACGTCAAGCATTGGATCACAACGGCGGAATGCAACCAAATCAAATGATCCGGTGACGCTCATTTTCAGGAAAACGCAACCAACATGAGTGGTTCTGTTGCGCAAGTGCACGGGCTCCTGACGTCTTGTTCCCTTTCCTGGCCTTGATAGGCTTGGTTGGGCTTGTGAGTCAGAAAAAAGAATAACACCCATAAGTTATAAAATACATTAAACTATACATTTCAAAGTGGCCATTTGAGGGTTGTTTCAATGTGATGTTGGTGGTGGTGGGAGGGTTAGGATTGTGATTCTTAGATGCTTCGAAAGAACGAAGCCGCGTTTCCGGCCCAGCGGCGCCTCGTTTCCGGCCTGGACGATCGCCATCCTGTGCATAGCCGAAGAACGGCAGCCCATGCGAAACGCCGAAGAACATCATTGTGGGTTCCATGTGAGAACTTTAAAACAGCCCCCACAACCGGCCTCCATGCAGAAAAAAACACAGAACTGGAATGGGACCTGTTTTTGTGGTTTTGTTCACTTTCGGTCGCTTGGTCCTTTGGTCGCCTGGTATCCGATTTGGTCGGTCCGGTCCCTTGGCCGATCTGGAGCTTCAGTCGCTTCTGGTCTCTGAAGTCCCCGAACTCGAAAAACTTGGGAAGTAGGACATGCTGGACATGGACCGTTCAGAAAGAATTTGGACAACGCACCGAACAACCCGATGTTCTTCCCACGTTCGTTTTGGGCCGAACATGGGGCCGCCTTACTTTGGCGGCTGCCGGATCTCTTCCTGGCAAGTCCCACCCCTGAATCAGCAAGTCGAACCACCTCGCAACATCAACAATTAACAACAATCAATCAACCCAGCCAGTTCAAGGTTCTTTTTAAATGACAGTTGCTTTCATCACCAGGTCTTCACCCTCCCTTCCCACCTGAGGATCTCTTGCGTGACGCCCGTGCTGTCCGCGTCATCGAGGGCCGTTTCGACCTGAGCAGCTGCAGCGCGGCAAAACGACCGTGGCGCCGCCGCGGCGGCCGTGGAAGGCGTGGCTGAACGAAGTTGATGGCTTAAGTGACTGAACAAACCAGGTTATGAAGAACCAGGTAATATATCCGGTCACTTTGGCTATCAAGTTAATATGGTTATCCAGGTAATATGGTTATCAAGTTCGGTCACTTTGAAGAACCAGGTAATATATCCGCCGACCCCAGCCGATGGGTTATGCTATATATGTTAATATATATATATATAATCCCTGGGCGTCCTGGCCCACCAATAATTGTATACTTTGGTTCTAGACTTAGATGTCTTTTAGATGGGGGATCCATATAAATCACCTAGATTGGGGATTGCGCCATCTATTCTCAATCCACGATAATCCCTAGCCTTCCTGGACCACATTAATATTTTAGAGCCTGAATCCCGCATCAACTACAGTAAGGATTTTGCACAACAAACTACACAACAAACACCAGGTCAACCATGCGTGTAATGGTCTTCGGAAGTCTAGGGTTATTGTATACTTTGGTTTTTGGCTTGTACGAGGTTGATGCATGTTTGTTGCACCACTGGAATTCGAGCTGTTGCGGAAAAAGAACTCTTCTCCACCAAGATGAGGTGTTCTGGCTGTTTCTTGGCGAAATTGACTCTGTCAGTCCGGACTCCCAAAAACACATACCACCGGCGGCCATCAAAACCACGGCCCTGACCATCCTCACCAAACCAAACAGATTACAACCGAAAATCCATGCTTCCTCGCTAAATCCAGGTTTCTTTGCTGTTTAAAACCACTTAATGCGTCGTTTGAGAATCTCAACCAACCATCTCACACTGCGCTTTTCTTCAGCAGGCTCCTCCCTTTCCTCCTCTCTCCCAGGCCCCCGCAAAAACCAACACACGTCCGGTCCGCCTTATCGACGGCACCATCCTCCAAGCCGTCGCGCACCCGCATAGCGGTCGAGACCAACAACTGGCCGGACAGCTCGAGAGGGGCGTGGAGCGAAAACCCCTGCGGCTCGACCCCGGACGGGAGCGAGGAGCGGAATCCCTACCACAATCCATCCACCAGCAGTCACAAGACGGGGTGCCGAACTTGGAGGATAGGGGTGCCCATGATCCACTCACTTAGGGACTAAAAACCACCCCTTTGTGACTCCTGGCATGGAATATTTTTGCCTACCACTTAAGACCTTCCGACCTTCCCAGTGACCGAACGACCTGGAGTCCCTGTTGACCTGAAACCAGGTGATCCATCCAGGTCAGGAAGACAAGTACATTGATTCCATTGATGCCGGATCAACATCTTCCGTTCTCGCCGGGATGGTGTTTTTAAGGCGAATCTTGGATTGTTTGGGATCTCTCGTGGAATACAAGACATGGTTTCACGACGGTCAGTTTAGCGCAGAGCTTCGAGGGTTTCGGACATTCTGTTGCGACTCCCATGCCTGGGATGGGATTAATTGAGCATCAACCAACAGAGGTTGAATGACCCTATAGACCATCCCATAGGTACCTTAGTAGGGTCCTATTGACGGTCACTGGCTACCTCTCTTGGAACTTCTGGAAGAACACTGGCTTCACGGAAAGCAAAACTCTGCGGGTTGGGAGAAACTTCAATCATCAACCTTCTACGTGAGCTGAGGCGAGGGGACTTTTTTTTGCGAGTTTAATCAGGTGTGGTGCAGGATGAACACCCTTCTGCCAGAGCATCTAAGAGCATCTTGTACTGCTAGTGGGATGGATAATGTGATACTCAGAACCCACAGTGTTCCAACGAATGTGCGACAAGACCACCTGAAATGATCTGAAATATATACTGAATTCTTCACTCTTGACCTGATCCGCAATGGCGATGGTCTATGATGGTCTATGTAACTCTTCCAGATCCACATGGGTAACTTTCACCGCAGTCGACCGCTCGGACCGCTCGCCCCTCGCGGGAACTGCCTGAAGTTGCAGAAAGAACTGCTGGAACTGTTCCTGGGAGTCCTGCGGCATCCGGTTGACCTGAGGCATCCGGTTGAGATGTTGGGACAAAGATGACGTGAGCGACGTGATGGGGGTGGATTGTGGAGTGTACCCAAGTGGTCGAAGGGGAATATCGGGAACATATTCTCGACAAGTCAAACTAAACATAGGGGATGTTAAATTAAGGCGGTTAAAAAGTGTTCCTCCTAATCGATCTGCAACATGCACCAATGAGAAAAGGTGCAACGTTTATTATTTCTAGTTTACTTATTTTTTGTTCGAAAAAGGCTGAACTCTGAACCAAGGATATCCTTGCTGTAGTCTATAGTCATGCAACTTCAAAGACAACAACAAAAACACAAAGGACCATCATGTGCAACGCAAAGAACAACACACGCCGAAATGGACATACTTGAACATACACCAAGGTCGCTTTTGATCCCAATTTCCACACTGATCGCTGTCGCTGGGAAACCCGGCCAGTGCTGCGATCTGCTGATCTTGATCCATCGATGAGATCCTGTCCACCTGTGAATGAAAGTGATCGAGAGCGAATTCGGTCAGTGCTTCTTTTACAGTAACCGACAACTCAGTGTCCTGCTGCAGATACATGTTTTTTTTGTATTTTGTGCTTTACATAACAAGTGAAACACTCAGCTTTGCTTTCTTTCAAACAGATGGGCTAGCCCTGCTGAGATGCGCAAATACTCTAGTTTGCTTAGATGGGCTTGTCATGCGAGAGACCTGACTCTTGACCTCCAACTTCACCTTACACATCAAAGCTTACAACTTGATCTCATCCTACTTACAGTACAGTCTTGGGGTTGAACCATCCATATGCGACCCACTTACTAGAGGGGATAGTCAAAACTTCTACATTCCTGCTAGCATGACCTTGTGCGTTGCCCGGTGGCCTATCCTCTGCATGTGAGAGGGGGCATATGTTGGCGTTTTGTTTGTTTTACAGAACTCTACGTGGGACAACCACATTATAACATCATGATTATCCTTCCAATCATCTGTTGCATCCAAAAAGTAATGTACATCTCCCACCCAGGCTAGCCCAGTCTGGCAGCGAAAAACACTGCCTCTTCCGGAGGCAGTTCCACCCCATACCTGGGAGAGGCCAGTCTGGTGACATGACCCTGGTTGCTTGGTGCTTTCCTCGGGTCATATCACCCAAATTCTCGGGTCATGTCACCCGAGAATAACCAACCCTGATGGGCCCACGTTTTCCTCCCTCCGATCGAAGGCTTTGTCTTTTTAGTCTTTTTTATTTGTTTCTTCGACACGTCCTTTTGAGGAGGTACGACTAGATCCCGAAGCCTTGTGGCGGAATCCTCACACCGACCCAAATCAACAGGCCCCTTTTTCCCTTTCAGGACCACCTAAACCGCCCCTCCTTGTACCTCACATCTACAGTCGGTGGGTGCACATCAACCCCAAAAATTCTGAGCTTCAAGAGCCGCTCGGGAAGGAGTCATGCGTTTTCAAGAGCTGAGGCCTACGTGGAACATGGGACACACACACAAAAAATAAAAGGAGTGAAGGAAGAGAGGAGTTGCCCACATCAAAGATATCTGTGGGTGCCAGTACAGTAGTCACCAGAGTTTCTAGGTCTATGGCATTTGGTTTTAGTCTAGGACCCACTCATGATCAGCTACAGTGGTATAGAACTGGATCCACCGGGTATGAATATGAATCAACCATGGAGCATGCCCCACTCCGCAATCCCACCCGGTGAGTGCCCACAGACTCACAACATGTACAGCAAAGAAGGTCAAAAAAGAACTGAATGGGTGAACTACAGGGTGCCTTGAACACTAAGGTCTCTTCTTGAACACCATGAATGAACTACATCCGAACCGATGTCCAAAGATACCATTTAAAAATCTCAAGGACAGCACCTTCTGTCCAAACCCCTTCAAAAGACCTCCACCAACCCCCAGGTGAACTCCGGTTCATTCAGCGTCACCTCCCAGCGAACCAAAGATTGAAGGACAGGACAGGATACCCAGACCTTGATCAGCTCAAGGGCAAGGTTCATTCGGGGCCCTCTCCGAGCTTGTGATTTTTGGGGCACTCGTCGGTTCATTGTGGGCCCTAACCAGTGCTCTTCTGGGGAAAATCCCCAATCCAAAGCTGGAGCGAGGATCGAACCCTCGGACTCCATCATAGACTGCACTTCCCAAGGTGGGGGAAGAACAATATATACGACAGACACACACGACGAACAACACGACTCCGTTCAGACCCGGCCAAACTTAACTTGGTTTCGCGACCCGTTGCTTTTTTACTCCAAGGCACTGCTCCATCAGGGCAATGACTGCAGGCAGCGATTGCACCTGACCATTCCTGCCCAGCGGCTGGCCATGGAGGAAGGGACCGATCAGACTATAGAAACCAGTTACACTATCTGTATAAGAGAGCGTTGGGATGCCGAGACCTCTTGTTTGGACGGCTTTTAAGCTTTAAAAGGAAGACTGGAATTGTGGTTTCCAAATGTTTCGAGAACTCAGAAACGTCTCCAAACATCTCCAAACAACGAGAAGTCTCAGAGATTTCTCGAAGACTCTTCGAGATTTCTCGAGAATTAGGTCTTTGAGCAGTGTCCGAGAAAATCGAACGACCCCACGTCGACACCACGTCGGTCGTCCGTTGGTCGTCCATTCGGTTGCTTCGGAAGCGTAACGAAGACCAACCCGGTGGTTTTGGGTTTCATATTACTCTCCCTGGAACTCACATGGAAGTGGATGGCACCACCTGTTTGTAGTGGATTTCATGGTCTTCCTTTCGGGGTCATTCTCCATGTAACCATGTTAGTTCCAGGGAGTGTAATCGAAGAGTAGGAGTATCCTGGGAGTTGCGGGAGTTGAGCCATGTTCAAGCCAAGAATCCTAAAGCTGCACTTTTTTCCCCTTCCCAAGACCAAATGTGTCTGTTTGGCATAGCTTCGCCTTGATACACAGCGGCCAATCCCAAAACCTATATATATATATTTATAATTTTGTCCATTTGGTCTTCATCTGGTCATGGTTGTGCTAGGGGGTCTCCCTAGTAATTCTAGTATATTCTAGTGCATACCCATATGAGGATGGGTCCTTTCACCTGGAGCCTGGAGCGTCCACGCCGCAAACGACACGATCGGTCAGTCACCCGATCGGTCTCCTGGTGTCATGATCCTAGAGCCATATCACCCACAACCCTTGGGGAACCTCAAAGTTGATATCATAGACCCAATACCCAACCAGCCCTCCGGACTCCACCAGCCATATCACAAAACCCAACACCTACTGCACGACCCAAGAAACCGAACACCTACTGCACCTTATGAACTTATGCTCCACCAGCCTCCAATAGAATCCAACCCTCTCACTCTGACCCGAGAGTCCCTCTGTCCCGCCTGTTCCATGCAATGGACAGGGTCTGGTGAAGCGTTTTCAGATGTCTAGATTCCAGCATCTGGCGCCGCCCAATGCGCCAGGGTGGTGGGTCGGACGAACCGAACGAACGAAAGACACACTTGTTCGACACGAGGGTGCGGGCAAAAGCAAGCAACCCCATGGTCCCATGGGCGGAGGGCGGGCAACACCAAGTTCTTGAAACTTTTGGCAACAGCTCATGTATTGGATTGTGGGAGCATGCATGCAGCATAGTAGTCATGATGGCTTGGGTGAAGAAGCCGAACAAGCGATATGGCTGTGGGTCCACACTGGGTGACGCTGGTCGACCTCCTCTTTTCCTCTTGCTCTTGCCGAAAACTCTGTTCGTGGCCGCTGCATGCAAAGTGAATTATGAATTGGCATATTTCTCTGGGTTACAAAAATCTTGCCCCATCCCAGCCTCGAGGTCAAAAGAACCAATCAATTCATCACACACTTCAGAAAACCAATTGGGGATAGGCAAAGCTTCGGCAACCCTAGGTTGGCTAGCAGCGAACACCCTTCCAAGAACCGCGCAAAAGGCGGGCGGATATTCTTTAAGATGGGTAGTTCGCCAATTTCCAGTTTCGTCATGGCCAATGGAAATTGCCTTGGGCAGATCTCCTTGGCGAGCTTGCAGAAACATCTCTTCTGCTTCTGCGCAAACGTTGACGAAGAAAAGCTCGGTTGGTTTGTAAGACGTGGCTCCATACCACCCTTGAAGCACTCGGAACTTTCTACAGCACTCAAACCTCAGGAGGGTTCTCAGTACTGGAAGTTTCCATATCGACGGCTGGCTGAAATCGTCAACGTCTTCTGCCGGGTGCTCCAGGACGGCAGTAGCTCCAGTGAGGGCAGCGATATATAGTAGCCGGATAGCAACTCCAAGCAATCGACTGCCGAATCGCACTTGCGCATCTTCTTTGTATTTGAGATCGAGCCTACCCTGAGGGCGGAGCACGGACCGAACTCGTCGCGGTCCTGGCTTCCCATTGTGCAGCTGTCGCCCACGGGCACGGCTCCATGTCTCGCATGGTGGGCCACCTAGGAGGCCTTTCAAAACCCCTTCGAACATAGCTTTGCGGAAGAGCTCGAAGGTTTCCTTTCTGCACAGGTCTCCATACCGGATATGGAATATGATATCAATCGAGATAGCTTTTGCCCCAAGGGCCTCAACAGCCTCCTGGAAATCTCCAGGCCTCCTTCTGCCCGAAAAAAGGTGCGCAAAGACAATTGGATCGTATCGAGGGGCATACCAACGCGGACATTCTATCCTCTCGAGGCTGCTGCCTGCAAGATCGAATGTCTGCATGACATCGATATGATCTGCCTTTTTCCAAGTTCCTTCAGCATCGACAATCTATTTCAAAGAAAAGAACTGGGCGCTCTCCTCAAGCTGCAGACATTGCAGGGCCGTACAACATTCGGTGTCATGAACATGTTGTACAAATCGCTTCAAGATTGCAATCACCTACCTCATCAGGGTACAAAAAGGTAGTTTGCAGAACCCTCTTCAAGCTTGCACCGAAATCCAAAGAGAAAGGCGGTTTGACCACTTGCTCCAAGGCCAACCATAGCCTGTTCTCCTCAGCCTGCACAATCGGGTCTCCGAGACCGTCAGTGGTAGCAAGCATATGCGGACCTTCTGCTTGGAAAAAGGGTTCAAGAAGCGAGGGACAAGATGCATTCACGGCTCTGCTATTAACCCCAGGCGCAGGGTCAACAATTCGAGGTTGGGCACGATAAAAATCCATGCATTCTTGCTTCCTCTTGACATGGTTGGTCAAATGAATCTGCGATGCATAGTGCTTAAGGCACCACAGGCACTGGACCCCATGGACAAAGTGCCTAGCACTATTAATACGCTCGTGCTTTTTGAAGGCATGGACTGCCATTGCCGACCTAGTTTTAAACTGAAGTTGGCAACAAGCACAAAAAAAGGGTCTTTCAGTTTTGGTAGCATGCCCCTGGAGGACAATCCCCGAAGACTCAAGCTCATCAAGGATTTCACGGTGCCATTCTTTCCATTCATACAAACGGACCTGAGCTGCTTTGGCTCGTGCTGCTGCTCGTCGCACAGCCTGCTTCCAGGCACGTGGTCTTTGGGTAGCCCACTCTTCTACCTCTTGCCATGAATCACTTGATCCCGAAGGGACATTGTCTTCAGGACAAAAAGCTTGCATCCATTGGAAGTCTTCAAGGACTCGACTATACCAGGATCTCTCCCTTTGGAGAAGACACCAGATATGCGGCTGCCCAGTGCGAACTAATTGCATCACATACCGAAGCCTAGCTTCCCTCAAAATGACTTCACTTTCTGGCAATTGCATGGTGGCGTGGATCTTCTCCCCGCTCCAGTCAATGGCCTGTTTGCCATAGTGCAGGTTTGCCAGTCTCTTGGCGAGCTTCATTATGAATCCTTGGTCAATCTGTCTTTGCTGCTTCGCAGTTCTTGGATTCCATGTTGCAGCGTTAAAGACAATAGTGCTAATGACCAAAGACAAGGTCATCTGTTTTTTAGTATCGAGTCCGAGCTGTCTGTTGGCAAAGATTTGCGTCTTGTACCTTGTGATCACATCATGGGCCACAGCGAATTTCTGACGTAAATCTCTGACCAACGCACCTCCTCTTTGCAAAGTCGTGCCTAAGTGCTTATAGTGTCCGACTACATGCAAAGGCTCGGGCAGCAGCATTGACGACAGCGCAAGCAGGTTGTCTGATCTTGCAAGATGCCTTCTGGCATTGACTGCTCCTTTTCCTCGCAACTCGATGAACAGCTCGGTCTTACCTTTACTCATATTTGGGGTCAGACCCGCTGTGGCGAGCACATGTCACACCGAATTGGCGACCTCTGGTATGACTTGCAACATGGTGGCAGGGGATTCATGCATGACAGCAAGCGAGATGTCATCTGCCCAAATTGGCATCGAAGGTCCCAAAAGGGTGTCAAATCCAGTACTCTCGTATTGAGGCCTCTTTGCTCCGTTCCACTGAAGCTGCAGAAAAGGGAAACGAGCTATCAAGTCAGCCTCAACCTTTTTGAGAATCCGTGCCAACACGTAGCCGAAACACAAGTCTGCGAATGAGTCGCCTGGGCGACTGCCCCTTCTTGCCCACGTCAAAGTTGGATTGCCAGCTACTGCAAACCAAGTGGTCTCGTAGAACTCACGGAATAACCCGGCCAGGAAAGGGCTGACCGTCTCCTCTGACAAAGTGGGTCCTTCCAGAAAATGCAGTCGAAACTCATCAAAAGCTTCTTTCGGCAATGACAGGCTATCGAACAATTCTTGAATGCTTCTGAGATCCTGCTTCGAATCGGTCAAATGCTTTCTCATGAGGCGGTAGAAAGCGTTCTGGATGTCAATAAATAAAACTGCAAAGCTCTGATTCTCTTGGATGGCGATACTCTGACCCAGCATCAGTGCATGGCTCGCCTGCACTATTGTGTGACCTTTTAATCCGCCGATTTGCATCGGCAAGGCTGCATGAACAAAATGTTGCCCCAACTCCTGCCTGTAAAGGCCATGCAGAATCTTCCCGACTGGGCTGGACACGAAAATGCTGCGGAAATTCGCACACTGGGATGGATCGCCTTTCTTAAAAAGAGGAACTAAACGTCCCCCTTTGAAGATAAGGGCTTCTTGCTGCCAGACCACCTGCTTCAAGAAGAGAGGGTAGAAAAGCTCTGCACATTGAGAGGCTGCAAGCTTCAAAAGGTCCCCCGGAATTCCATCGTAGAAGAAGGCTTTGTTAGCAGCCGTCCCTCGCATGGCTCGCTCGACCTCAAAGAGCGTAAGAACCTGATCCCATTGCGGGCAGAACACCTGAGATCGTGGAACTTGCTCATTTAGAGCGATCAGCTGTGCAAGGGAAACAGGAAGTCCGTCCTCCTGCTCGGCAAAGTGCTGCCTCCATCTCTCTGCAACCTGAAGATTAGAGTCCAGCACTTCTCCTACGAATCAGAGGCAGTGGTGAAAAACAACCAGGCTTCTTCTTGCTTTTGACTCCCCATTGTTTGAGAGCATCTGCGAAATCCTTTTGCGACAAGGTGTAGGGAATACAAACCAAGCCGTCAACAGTCCCTCGCACAGCGTACGGGAACGCGCGGTCTCTCTGACCTGGCGAGTTCCCTGCAGAGATCATGTGCCAGGCAGTCATCTGGGCTATGCGCCCCAGCTTGCCGGGTGCCCTCTCGGCTATTGCCAGGGCCAACGCTGTGCCCGCGGACGACTGCACGCCAGCAAACTCCGCGGCAGCCGGCGCTGGTCGACCACCAAAACTGAACAAACAGAGAGTACTAGGGTTACTAGGGAGTTCAACCTACCAGGGATTAGGCCCCTGTGCTCTTTCAACTTGCGCGCGATCTTTGAATTCAAGTCCCGATTGGCCTAAACACTCGTCTGATGGCTGTTGGTCAAGCCAAACCGTGGCTGCTCTCAAAAGAAAGGACAGCAAATGCTGCCCGGACCCTGTTTCAGGTGAACACATCAGAAAACATCACCCGAACCACACAACATAGCCTAACCTAGCAAAATCCACCACACATCATACCCTGGGCTACTTCCATGCACAGTGAAAATCATGGAACGATTCAATCCCTCTTCAATGGTATTGAATACATACTATAGACTATATACTAAAAATACTGTATATCTTAATACAGTATAAAAAACACACATATATATATATATATTTGCTAGCCCCCCCCCCAAAACCTATGTTTCTGAGCGCTGGTGTGCAGTTGGTAAGCATATTTGTTCACTTAACTATGTACTACAAATATGTCCAAATCCATGAGGTTATGTGAGTTTACTAAACAGTTCTTGGATGGAGTAATCCACTTTGTATATTCAACTCTACTCTACTTTGTATATTCAAATTCAAATTTGAGTCTATTTCAATTATTTGTAAATATAGATTCTAATTTACTATAGATTCTAATTTACTATAGATTCTAATTTACTTGGGATTCAATGCAAGCCTAATTTTAATTTGATTTCAAGCTAATTCTAACTTCATTGCTATACAAGTCAGATTCAATTCTAATAGTGTATTCTTTTTCAATTTAGTTTTAATTTGAATGAAATTCTCATTTACTTCTTCTAGAGAAGTGGTGTTACTTTGAACATGAGAGATTTTATGTAGTTTTTCCAATATAGAAGAATGTGCTTTCTTAAATGAATTAAATTCACCACCAGCAACACCCACTCTCTAGAATGACACCAAAACTCCATGTGCATTGAACTAGAATCAATATAGGATGAAATTAGACATATAGAAACCAAACCTAATTTGCAATGACAATAGTGTAACATTAGATGTGTAAAACAATTGAATCTGAACCGTATAAAGGCATTAACAGTAGAAATTAATTACTAGTAAATTGGAAGAGTCAAAGTTACAATTGAACCCAAAATAGAATGAAATAGAACTAAATTAGAAGTACAGTGGACTGGAATTAAATTAGAGTTGAAAGAAACACATTGAATATTAATCCATTACTTAAATTGAAATTGACTTAGAACTAAGGTAGAATTGAATTAGAGTTGTTTTACCTAGAGCTTGGTTAGTAGAACAGTATTGACTTAGAACTAAATTGGAATCTAAGTTCAGTTAGAATTGAACTAGATCTAATTTGCAATCTCAATTTGATTTCAATTATATAAAGTTCAAGTAGGATCATTTTCTATTTAAATTAGAAGCATGTTGCAGATTCAAATTTAGATTTAAGATTGAATTCCATTAGATCTAAAATAGCCAAACATAATTAGAATTAAAATAGAAATGAGTAAATTAGAATAAAAACTGAATTAGAACAATGAAGTTAAGCTAAATAGACTTAAATTAGAATTCAATTAGGCTCAACTTAGGCTTAAAGTAGAACTATGTTACATACTCAAATTAAAGTAGAACTATGTTACATACTCAAATTAGAATCCATTTAAAGTTCAATTAGACTTCAATTAGACTCAACTTGGAAATTTAAATAGAAATACACGTGATTTTAAATTGGAATCAGAATTGACTTAGAATTTAGTTAAATTGTATGTGCACTAAAATTCATAGAAGTAAATTAGAGTTGAATTAGTTGTTAATTAGAATTGAATGAGGAACAAATGTCGGTAATCAGTAATATTCCAGGATCAAACTGTACTTAGTGCAATTTTGTCACTACCAGAGAATGCCAGAGAATGCATTCCTGCCCAATACCAAGACCAAGATCCAAGATTTGCACAGAAGTCTTGTGGAAAATCTTGGAAATACCAAGACCAAGATCCAAGATTTGGAAAATCTTGGAAATACCAAGACCAAGATCCAAGATTTGCACAGAAGTCTTGTGGAAAATCTTGGAAATACCAAGACCAAGATCCAAGCAAGACTTCTGTGCAAATCTTGGATCTGGGTCTTGGTATTTCCAAGATTTTCCAAATCTTGGATCTTGGTCTTGGTATTTCCAAATTTCCACAAGACTTCTGTGCAAATCTTGGATCTTGGTCTTGGTATTTCCAAGATTTTCCACAAGACTTCTGTGCAAATCTTGGATCTTGATCTTGGTATTTCCAAGATTTTCCACAAGACTTCTGTGCAAATCTTGGATCTTGGTCTTGGTATTGGGCAGGAATGCATTCTGAATGCATTGAACGCATTCTGACTGCATTCCTTCCAAAGTGGACAAAGAAGTCATGCAACCTACGTGCACAAATATATATATATATATATATGGTACCCCACCAAAAAAACAAGAATCAAAAGGCAACCCAAAATAGACACAAAATATTGCAAATACCAGCAAAAGTGATGTGAACATAGTTTTTTTTTTTTGGGGGTACCATATATTTATATACACACACTCTTTAACGACAATAATATATATATATATAGAGACGTGGTTGGAATGTCTACCACTTGAGAAGGAACCTTCTTCCAGGCCGACCCCATGTTTCACCCGCGCCGCCTGGTCGGCGATATATTTACTCGCCCGCTTCATGCCAAGGCCCACATCCACCGGCTCCTTCTTCTCCTGACGAGAAAACATCGTCCAGGTGTTGCTTTGGACGGTCATGGAATACGCTGCGCTTGAATTCTGTCACCCCCCCAAACAGCCAGGAACCCGTTTAAAACAACTCTTCCCCAAAGGACTTCACTCAGTTTGGGAACATCAAAACCCCCACATGTGGTGACCAACATGAATCTCCAGCAACCAATGATCCAAAACCTCGAAAAAAGCTTCCAGGCTGGTGCAAACAAACGTGCCAAAATACCTGTGCCTCCACTGGTCTTCAGGCCACTGCATGGACTACGCCCAGCCTCATCGGGCATGGCGCCCCCGCTGGCCATGCGGTCCCGACCTGGTCGGTTCTGGCCGTGCTGGTCGTGGGTTGCACGATTCGTTCAGTTACACACATATATTATATATGATATAATATATGTTACATTCACACTTATTTGCAGTATATTATACCCAGAAGCCATATGACCTCTGTTTTGATAGGACAAAGACACCATGTTTTGACTCCTAAACAGGGGTCACTCAGGTTCTATAGGTATATATATATATAACATTAATTGACGCTTGTCTGATGGCTGCATGCCAGGTTTGTTTTAAGGAGGTCAGTTCATCGGTTTAGATGCTTCAAAGGATGGTGGTCGGTTGAAACCCGGCGGTTGACTTCCCCAGAAACAACACCTCGCTGGGTTGCAGCTTCGCTGCCTTCCTCGCAGAGATGGCAGGACCCATCAATCCAATCCGTGTCAAATGGCAGGAACTTACAGCGATTCACCATCAAGGCCGTCTGTTCACAAATCACATAAATTATCTGGTATATAACTAATTCATATTAATCAAATTTGTATGTTACCAAAAAAAGCAGCAACATCACCACCCAGCAAAGGAAATCTGGACCAGTTTTCCAAAAAGCAAGTGTGCGAAGAACTGACGGGAATCCATTTAGTTTTTATATTATTTGTGGAACATCTTCCTCTCTTCCAGCGCTTCTTCATGGATTTTTGGGCCACACGAAAGCTTGCACGATGAACTCGAAGGCTGCGCCTGCGATGAACTCTGTGAGTTCACCAGGATGCTCTGAGCCAACGATGGCATCGGACGACGAATGCTTGGGACACCCGTCAGCCCGGGACGGGCGGCAAAAGGCCTGGCTGTGTCTGAAGGGTCTTTTTAAGGGAGAAGGACCTTCATGGAGCTCCAAATTCAACAAGAAAACCACAACATCAACAGAAATCAACTCAAACTCCGCAGAAGAAAAGAGAGGGTGTCCTTATTCTTGATGCACCTTTACCAGTGCATGATGGGTCGTTTAAGGAGGAGCGCTTTTCGGGGAAGGCTGAGACGGAGAAAGGAAGACCAAAGAGAGGATTGGAGTCGAGTGGAGCAGCAACATTGTGGCAGTTGAGACTTAAAAAGGGACCATCGGTTGTTAGTCGGTCCAGCCAAATTCATAGATCCATACCAACACCTGCCAGGATTGCAAGAAGAGTCTGTATAATCACTAGAAGCCTCCTACATGAACGAGTCCTGGGGTACAAAGCTGTCTGCTTCCTTCGGGCGCCTTTGGGTAAAACCCCAGCGTCCGCCCACGGGTTGCCGGCCTTTTAAGTCTCTGTTGGCTTCCCCAGTGGGAAACAAATACAACTGTTGGATCATGAGCTTCCTCAGAATACTTCATACCCTAAGGATCCGCACCCTCAAAAACAAGGGTTTTGAGGGTACAAACCCTTGTTATAGAAGCTTCGACCCCTTCTAAGGAGGGTCCAAGGATCCTTAGGGTAATTCATCATTTGATAGGGGGCCAGGATATGCACTTGCTGAAACCATGGAACTACTGTAGAATCCCCCCTTAGTACCGTAGAGGAACACAGTCCTGGAAGGGACCATAGGAACCACTTTCGGACGTTGGTGTCGTCACCCACGGAGGGGTTTTCGGGGCTGTGGCTGGAGGCCGGAGAACCAGGGAGGTCAATCTCAGGTGGCCTGGCGACCGTGGAGCTATGTAGAGACCTTAGAGATGACTTGTTTGTTGCACCAATTCTTTCTAAACCCCCTCCGAGCCTCAAAACGGACGAAAAGAGTGTCAAGCCCAACTCACACATCACGGAATTGAATGGCATGGCATCCAATTCCTGCAAATCTATAATATGCATATATATATATATGGTGGTTGTCCAATATTCTTGTTTATTGAAACGGCCATTCTTCGCGAAAAAAACATTAACATTCGCGAAACTTTCGCGAACCCTGTGTTTTTCTCTCGCGGGGGTTCACCATGTCATGAAACCATTTAACCTGGTAGGGACTCGATTTCTAAATACAGTTTGTGGGGTTGCTATGGGCTACGGGGTTCCTCTGGAGCCGATTCATTCGCCGAAACCTTCGCCAGACTTTCGCGAAACTTTCGCGAAATAATCCCTGTGCTTTGGAGGTTTTTACGGCATACATAACATAGGGTGGACTACATGAAACAGGAAGGAAGCTTCACACGGATTCCAAAGTTGAAGCTGCTGACGGTCAGAAAAGGATGTGGTTATGCATGGGGCAAGCCTGAAGGCTCACCAAAGAACATACAATAAAAAATCATACTTTCGCGAATCTTTCGCGAAAAAAACATTAACATTCGCGAACTCGAAAAAAAACTTTCGCGAGACCCACGATCATGTCATCCAAGGCTCTCGACATTAAAAACCCTTACAAGGACCTTTTGGATAACTCCCATATATATAAGGATACCTAATTTGGATTTTGTTGCAATTCTTTGTGATGTGTTCAGTTGATGAACCCCCTTTCCGCCCTGGTGGGACCTCTTTTTTTCTCCTATGCAGGGTTCGCAAGGAGATCCATGACGGATCAGCCAACTCTTGGCCAAGACTTGGAAAAAAGCACATCGAAAATCCATAGAATGGGAGTTCTTTTTTCCTGCGGGAAAATTATCGTGGTTTCTGGATCGTTCCTGCTGTGTCTCACAGGTTCTGGCCGCAGCAAAATAGTCTAACATATATTCCTGTAGATTCCCTTCTCACGCGGCCAGTGGCTAGCTGATTGCCAGTCACTGCTCAGTGGCCTTCGGAAGAGCTTTGCTTCCGAGTTCTGTCGGCTGAAACCACTGGTGATCGGACTGATCCAACATGGCTCATGGAATCACAAAACAGATTTCATCCGTGAAACATACTCAAACACTCCATGAAACTGGCATATATATATATATATACCTACATTCACCCCAGGTCAACCACCCCTGTCTGCATGACTATTCCATTTCATGGACTGTCTTTGCAGAGTGAACACACACTATGCAGGGAAGCAGCAAAGACAGGAACCCAGGCCTCCCCAGCCCAGCCGGTCTCCTAATCCTTAGGGATCCAGTCGTACCGAATCCTGATCCTTCTAGGGGATGGTGACTCCACCACCACTGAATCTGAAGTAAATCTATGGATTCCCCCCTCAGTTTCTTCTGGAAGCTTAAGAACAAAAGTCACTGCCTATAGCAAGTTAAGGTAAGAGTTACATATCCATAAAATCTCTGGTACGTTTTACCAAAATAACGTGCATGCACCAAGTATCACAAAGGCCGATTTGCTCATGACTGCCTCTTTGGTAGTATACATCTGGATGTGCCAAAAACCAAACCGGCGCCAGCTGGGCGATGCCCAGCTGGTCAGAGATGCTGCTTCTGCCAAGATGTGACCACTCATCGTGTGAGTTTTTCAGGAACCAAAGATGTGTCAGTTGAGAGTAGATGGCGCAAGTTACCCCAAGTTGGGTGGTTTATATGGATCCCATCCCATCTCTCCAAGAATTCTTGGGGTGCCAGTGCCATCGAACCTCTGAAACCACTGTAGGGGTGTCAGTTTGGTACCGGCTCAGTTGTCATCAACCAACCGTACGGCGTATATCACACCATCACTACCAGTGCCATCCAGGGCCCAGTGGATGATGATAGTTAGGTTGCAGGCTGACATCTCAAAAATTCTACGATCCTCTTTTACCGACTGTTACTGGTTTCCATTGGTTTCCTGGAACACACTGTAGCTCCACACTCTAACCCACCCACACCAATGGCGCATGATTCATCGACGTCAAACCGGTGGAGACAGCCGTTCGTGACGTGGACCGCGTGACGCTTCAGAGCGACCTGGAGCGGGGAACACGGGTCCGCGTGGTCCAACGGTCCGCGTGGTGACTGGCGTGGTGGAAGGAAAGGGGTGGAGAGCCCCATGTGAGACAGATCATGATAGGTCATGATTAGACTCTTGAGATCTCTTAGAGATTCTTAGAGTATATTTCACAATATTTCAAGCCCCAAGGAAATTCTTTACAATGCAAAAGGAAGGAATTGATGAATTAATATGAATTAATCAAGAGTGTTAGCAGGACCCACAAGGGGTGGTTAATGGACACCCCTTAACATCCAAGGGGCTATAAATAGAAGCCCCATAGGGGTATACATGAAGTCCTGGTAAGTGGTCTCTGATCTTGCGTCCTGCCATAGGGAAAAGGTAAATGGGGAGCTCAGCACCCTGACACCAGGAACCCTTCGCGGAACTGCTGGTGAATCAGGTCATTGATGAGCCTTGGTTGGATACCAACCAAAGCTTGCAGGGTATGCAGGGGACTGATCCCAACTGCCAGGTATCTTCCACCTTGAGAAAAGCAAACATGACCCCGTTCTTCAAAACGCAGGAACTCTTCTGGCAGTCCGTTCATGCCTGGCAGTCCAAGGTATTCAAGGACCTAGTAGGAGCAAGAAGCGTCTAGTAACAAAGGGCATCGCTAGTTAGGAGCGATCGGACGCTCTGAACGGGGCGCTCCTGGCCGCTATGATCGTAGCAAGGACAGGGGGTTCGCCCTCCCTGCGGTCGGGACCGTTCGGTCTCGGGCCCTCCGACATGACTTGTCGTTGGACCCGGTAGCCGGGCACCTAGGTACAGGGCGTGGGTGCAAAAAACACCATGCAAGTACAGTATATAAAAATATAGCTAATGATACTACTTGATACTATACAGTACTACACTAATACTACAAAGATTTATAATGATTGTTGTAAGTAATCTTGGACCCTATGACGACAATGAGGATGAATCACAAGGGTCATATGAACTCATCTTGCACTGGACCTTCTTAAGGTGCATCCACTGTCTTTGCCGCATCTGAAGCAGGTCAGGGTTGGACTCATCACCTTGAATGATTCTGATTTTGATCGGAAATCTCTCCATTCAAGGGGGCCACCACCTGCCCAGTGTTCATCAATTATCCAACTCAGAAACCTTTGCAAACCTATTTCAAGTCCTCTATATTGGGTCTATCACAGTACCAGTAACAGTGGATGATGGTTGGGTGGCAAGCCAAGCCTTTCTCTAAATAGTGATGATATGTGATGATTCTTTACCGACGGCTCTGAGCAGGTAATAAGACAGTCCCAAACTCTATCATCTCTATGTGTATTTTTGTATCTTTCAACAACAACTAGGACTACATAACCAGGACCCAACACCATATGGCGCTCCTTGATCAAAACAACACCTCCCCAGTCCAATCGGTTCATGTTCTGTGGGTAAACAACAGTATCAGGTTTTCCGGTGCTGACCGATAGCCATATTCATCAATCTCTCTCTTGTTCCACGTGGATCTAACACACCTTTACCTCCACGTGTTCCACAGTTGATCGAGAGTCTTAAGTTGCTTTTGGTCGCAAGACATCTTGGCGAGGTACTTCTTCGGTCTCCCCGTGATCGTAGGCCACCTCCACAGTATACCTTGCAGATCAAGTCTCCATGATGGTGGCTGGTGGTGGCTGAGTGGGCTGGCGGGTGTATGATCGGAGGCTCAACACCTCTCAAGCCTGCAAAGGCTGCTTTCCGGACGCACGGGACCGTGTGCTTCCCCTGAAAACGACGAACAGCGTTAAGACTCCAGTCGTAGCTTTGTTTCGGTTCGGTGGGACTGGTGTGGATTGATGCCAGGAGGATCTAGTCATACCTTCTGAGGAGGTACGACTGGAGACCTATAGGGTTGGGAGGAGGACCTGCTCTGCCGGTGGGGTGCCAAGGGCGCCTGAAGGTTTCCAGACTGGTTGGTCTGAG